ATGTGTGGAAGGCTATGATATGTTCATGTAAGCCATCCTGTAATAGTGCAGTACTGAAGCAAACTTTATAGTGCTATCCCACTGAATTATACAGTACTGTTGATGGCCTCTAACAGGAGAAACCATCAAGTTACTTTATACTGACAAAAGAGTGCAACAGAAAAATTAATCACTACCAAGGTACAAATATAGGCATTGGAGAAATTATCAATTTTAAAAAAAATGAATTTTTTGGCATTTAATTAAAATTGTTAAATGACAGCTTTGATTTTTTTCTTTACTGGAAAATTGAAAATTCTCAGAAATTGAAAATTCTCAGAAAAGACAATTTCATCATGTGAAGCAGAAACACAAACTGATGAATCAATTAAATTGGTCATTACAAAAAAAACAAAAAACACAAAACAAAATTAACCATCAGAAGAGAGGATGACAAAAAATATCTTTAACAACATGTGGATATCTACATATAAAACTCTTGCATGTTAAAACCAATACATTCAACGCTCAGTTTGTCTGTAGGCGGCCAATCCTTTGCGGCTGTTTATACAGAAAATGCTGTATCTGATGGGAAAACGTCTCCAAACTAAATTGGTCTGCCTTTTGCTGACAAGACATATAAAGTTCTCAATAAAATGCCTGCTATTTTATCATCCTCACATTCCGAGACTCCTAGTTGGAACCTTATCCGATGTTACTGTCCCTGAGCTCAGCTGAGGAATTACAAAGGTCATCATAAACAACGTTTAATTTGAAAATCTAAAACACATATGACGTCATAGAATGTACATGAATGCCGATTATTTACATCTTTCAGGATTCTCTTATTTCATTTATTTAAAACTTTTTTCTCGAACTGGAAACCAACAGATTTTGTATTTAAACAAATTAAGTTTCAAAAGTTATAAAAGTCACACAATACTATTAACACTATTCTAAGACAGGTTTTCTGCACAATATGCTAAATATTGAGCATCATTGTAGTTTGGAAATAAATTTTAATCATTTAACATGTCAGGAGCCCTCAGGCAAGTGTCAGGGCAAATTATAAACAAGTTTAATAAATATATTGGCACAAGTGCAAGATTCTAATTATCATATAACCCTTATTACTGAAAATAAGCTAAAACTCTTAAATTACTTGCCCTTTCAGATAGATTTATTTTGATGCTGCTGATATCTGAAAATACAATGTACCAAGACAATCATGTGACTTCATCAAGATGTGACTTATTTCTGATGTCATAGTAAAACAGGCCAGTTACCTATGTGATAAACTACAACATACAGGTGATATAGATACAAATTAAGTACCTAAAACTGCACCATTGCTTTATTCAACTCTAAATTTTCTGGTCTATATCCTTCATATTACCTATACTAATGGGTAATACAAAGCATGTGGCAAGGAAAAACACTAACCACAAATTGAAACCATGTACATGAATCTTGCCTGACAATCCATGGCTTCATAAAACAGGCTGATGAACTACGCCACCTGGTGGTAAAAAAAGTGTAAAGGATTGGGGAAAACACCAAACCATGAATTGAACCTGTGTCTCTAGAGCTGATAATCAAGGCTTATATATCAACAGAGCCAAACAGGCATATATGTGTCATCAGTTGAATGACTATTAGAGATTGTATTTAACACAAATGTAAGCCACCATGTGCCTTCTTTGTGAGCAAGAGCAAGGTAATAGCTGGCATGTTCCTGCAAGAAAGAATCTTATTTTTCTCTTACGTGAATCCCATTTTTTTTTTTCAGTATATGCCATGCTACATATAAAATCAAGACAAGACTTTGAATGAATTACTATATATATATGCTACCTTGTGGCACTGTCCTGGGTTTTTCAATCACATTTTGTAAAATGTAGGATTTTGTCCATAAAATACGAAAGATAAATAAAATATAACCAACAATTAAGGAAAATGAATACCAGGAACTTGTACTTTGTCTGTAAAGTCAACATTCAATATTGTGGTGTTTCTTTTGTTATTTATTTTCCCATCATGTCAAGTTTGTCTATCGTAGCATAGACAGTTGGAATCTTCTGGCATGTATATGCCATGTCTGGAAGTCTCCTCTCTGGGGCCATTAACTAACAATGCTGGATGTCTCCACCAGCATTACAGCATTTCTAAATGGAAACACTGGGACTCCAGACCACTTCTATATACATATCTAATTTCTCTGCGGCATGCCTTCTCCAGAGAAGTAGTGTCAATTATTTTCTTTTCACGTCAGTGAAAAAAACAGGAGCTTGCTTTCTGTGTAAATTTTGCATCAATTATCATCATTCTTTGAAAATCTTTTTATTTTGAACTCTTTGCAATAAAGAAGATAACGAAAAAAAAACAAAAACAAAACAAAAAAATGTGATCTAATAACCTGTTATCTGGACATGATTTTCCAAGACCACAATGAACAGAAATCATGACAAAACGAAATATCCATCTTGTTCAGAGCCGATATTGTCACTTTATTAGTATGTAATATGTCTCCATAGGCGTGTGTCTAGCCATCTCATCGCCATTACAATACTTTATAGGAATGTATGGCCTTCCATTTAGTTAAGATTAATATCTTCCTTGAATAAACCGTGCCAATTTCATATATTTTTTTTCTCATTTTTTAAAACTGTTTTTCAGATTAAAGGGGAACAACTCACATACTGTTATATGAATAAAGAGGGTCATCTATAAAATGACTTTTACAAATCATTAAATGAAGTTCAGTCAGAACAGTCCACCATTTCAGAATAACAAGGGCTCTTGGGACAAGACTGTTCTGTAAAATCATATATTTTTGTGAGGTTTAATTTTCGTGGTTTTCTGAAAAAAAAATATTATTTCATAAATACTTGATTTTGTGCATAAATATAGCTCAATTCATTGACTTATACTACGTCTTCAGTTTATGGAAAGACATACGAAGTCTTCCATATACCTTTTTCCAGGATTTTTTCTGAGGAGTCCAAAGCACCATTTCCAAAACTCTGATGAGTCGAGTCACAAGAGATATAGTGGGTTCTAAGAATTTGTGCGAGTTTCATAGGAAAAGTATGAGTCTGAGACCCCAATATCTGAGCCTAAAAATCACTGTAATAATACTCCAGTTTTTATAAATCATCAGAAACATAACCAGGTCCAAAGGGTTACTGGCTATTTACATTTTACTTCTATCAAGTCAAATATCTGATTCTATAAGGTATATCACATCACAGGTATATTTCCACTGCTGGGAGTGTACAAATCTACCAGCCAAAGGACCACCAAGGATAGCATATATTATTGATCATGCAATCTGCCTATTATCAAATCAATTCGCCTGTGAAATATTTTTGAATACTGCATTTATGTTATATACCCTAGAGATTTGATTCATTCTATATTCCAGCCTGTTAGAAATTGATTGTAATAATCCGGACAACAACGTTACATAATAAATTGAAAATAGCATGACAAAATTTCTGCACTTGTTTGAGTTTTTCTTTCACATATTCATTTTAAAACTTATCAAAGTATAACATTTATGTGATATAAGTATCTTAAATTTGTTGTCAATACATATGAGATTTGATAAAACATGTCTCAAAAAAAATTTTCAAGATATGTTTCATAAAATCTCATAAGATGAAAACTCATTTACTCATTATCAAGATCTAATATCCACTTTTATATAAAAAAAAGAAAAGTGAAAATTTAAAACAGCTTTTCACTATATAACATATCAAAGGAAATCTCAAAATATGAAATGTAATGTGATGAAATTGCTATAAACATACAGTAATACTAAACTAAATATTTACACTCTCCTTCCATATCTAAGTCTCACTTGTTACTTATTATCTTGGGTTAATAAAACCATGTATCAACCTCATCAAAAGTCCATAACTGTATATCGTCGATATTTGAGTTACTTGTGTTAGAGTATACAATCTTGTCACTACTTGTATCAGTTGTACATACACATTGTTAAATCCTTAAACATTTCTATAAACATGGTTAATGTGAAGACAAACATAAGACATTAAAATATGTTTCATTATAGATGTATTTACAAAAAATAAATTCAGACATAAATTTAACCATTTGTTGTTGTGTTATCAACTGCATGCCAGTGGCGCCATCTACTCTACAGCTTCTGATACAACATGGCTGTTCAATTGAACATGTTTGTATTCTATAAACCTGAGCAAGGAAATTTGTATTTAAAATGTTTTTGAAATATCTGAGGTTGTAAAATTTAAGTATTGAGATACTTTAAATAAATATGAAAACCATGGAACGTGTGACAACTACTATAATTTACTGTAACAGATATAGAATCCTACAGACTTGAATAGGTCTTAAACAATTTAAATCACATCTATAACTATTGGCAAAGTAAGTGATTTCATCTCATGTTTAACTAACAAAGCAGAAGAAGCAGAAGAAATTCAAAATCAAGTTAAGACAATCTGAATACACCGTACCATAAGCTAGTAACTAGTGTTTACATAATAGTAACGGAGTACTTGTACAATAATTGAATACTGTATCAAAAATGAAAATTTTCATTACTGGAAAGACAAAATCACATGAGATTTAAAATGTCTTCTTATTAGTAGTCATTTGATTTGAAATGAAAGATGAAGCCAAAAAGACAAAACTTGACAGTTTACAGTCAAATGCTTAAATGTAAAATATAGGACAATGAAGGAACTATTTTGTTCATATTTATAATTTAAACTTAAACAATGTTTATCCAAAATATGTCTAGGTCATGGCATGGAAACTAAGAAACCAGAAAGAATTTCAAAGATGCACACATATCCATCAATTTTTGGCCTCCACAAATAAAATCTTGTAAAATTGAATCTAAGACTGACTAATACTTAACACAAGGTAGATAACTCCTATGGGAAAATGTTTTTAAAATCTTCTAAATAATCTGTCATTTTCTCCAATAACGCATATCAAAGTAACATGCAAGAAAAGAACACATGACATACCTGCAATAGAACTCCTCTCGTCTTTTATTTTCCTCGCCTGTGTCGATGACCTTCTGAGTGGTACTGACGACCTCCACCCCATCCCTCATGTACTTCCTTGTTTTGGTCAGTGTTCTATAGTGACTCTTTGTCTCCTGAGAAACCAAAGTGAATTAACAACCTACAATTTTGATTCCAAAACTTTGCGAAATTTTATGTAAAAAATAAACCAAAGGAAAATAACCTTTGAAGATCCGAAAAGTTTATTTCCATAAAATTTGGGTGAAAAAATGCTCTAGAGGTTTTACCAGGTATATATTGAGAATGACTGTTTATTATAATCAATATTCTCAAAAAAATTGTGAGTAAAATCAGTATGTTTTAGAGTAAAAGCAAATAACACATGACTTTATCTATCTCCCAATAAGACATGAGTTCATCAATCTTCAAATATGGCATGACTTTATCTATCTCCTAATAAGACATGAGTTTATCAATCTTCAAATATGGCATGACTTTATCATTCTCTAAATAATCATGACTTTACCAATCTCTAAATAATCATGACTTTATCAATCTCTAAATAATCATGACTTTATCATTCTCTAAATAATCATGACTTTATCATTCTCTAAATAATCATGACTTTATCAATCTCTAAATAATCATGACTTTATCAATCTCTAAATAATCATGACTTTATCATTCTCTAAATAATCATGACTTTATCAATTTCTAAATAATCATGACTTTATCAATCTCTAAATAATCATGACTTTATCATTCTCTAAATAATCATGACTTTATCATTCTCTAAATAATCATGACTTTATCATTCTCTAAATAAGACACAACTTTATTCATTTCTTCATAATTGATTTATAAGTTTATGCAATCCTAGAAACTAACTGAAATTTCAACTTCAGTTTTTAGTCATGGTAGCATTTGACGAATATGTTTTTGCCATCTATCAGTTTTTACCTACATTATACAATATCAATAACTAATATAGATCAAATAAATTTAAACTCAATGATTTTTTCAGACAAAGATCAAATAAATTTAAACTCAATGATTTTTTCAGACAAAGATCAAATAAATTCAAACTGAATGATTTTTTCAGACAAAGATCAAATAAATTTAAACCCAATGATTTTTTCAGACAGAAAAAACACTGGAGTGAAAAACACAAATTTTTTTCCAATTCTTAAGAAGGAAAACAAATAGGTGAGGGCTAGGGACAAAAACATTACTTATCACTCAAAGTCAGGGTGACATGTATAATTTACAGGATTTTTACAGTGTAATTTTAATATTGTTACCAGGAAGGGTTTATTGTTGGAATTCCCTCCAATCATTCTTTAACCACTAAGAACTTACCCCACGAGTGCGTATATGTGATTTAGCAGCTCGGCTTGTAGCGGTCTTGGTCACATCTTCGTTACTGTCCACAGTGGTTACACTACCTGTGTCTGAACGTGTGTCATCATCCACATCTGCTATATGGCGGTTCTTGGAATCTTTGACATTTTTGGTTTCAAATGTATCTAGATCTGTCTGTGGAATCACAGCACTCGTTACCATTTCTTTGTTTGTATTTTCGCCCACGGGCATGGCATAGCCATTGCCCACCACCATCCCCGATGTCGGAACCGGCTGTCCATTAATAGTGATTGAGGCATCGTCTTTATTACTATCTTTACTTGTCTGAGCTCCTTGGTCATCATCACCTAGGGTGACCTTGACTTCCTGAATTTCTACTTCTACTTTCTCTTTACTAGTATTTTGTGTTGTTGAAGAAACATTTCCCCCAACTTTCTTAATTTCTACATTGTTGGCTTTGCCGGTAGATATGTCAATGATCATTTTGTGCCCCGGTGATTTTTTCTTTTCTGGTTCTTTTTCTTCCTCGTCTTGTAAAGCATCATCAATATCAGTTATTTCATAACTGGTCTCTCCTTCTTCCTGTTGCTGTTGAGATTCATGCTCTTTATCCTCCTCCCCTTCCTCTGCAAGTTTTTCCTGGTGTGCTTCTTCAATGACATCTTTGAAAGTATCCAGGACAACGCTAGGCACCGACGGTTGTGTGTTCACAGATCGAATCACCTCATTGATAAGACCTTCTAAGATGTCATTAACTGTCGGCGTGATGTCTGGTTTAACATTGTCTTTTGCAGGACTTACCGTCTAAAAAATACAATGAAAAAAAAATGTGAAGATTTACTTGTTTTTTTGAAAAAAGAAATTTACATTTCATACAAAAGCAATCAGTCACCAAGATAATTATGACACAAAGAAATAGAAAAGTATACAAATATTTTGATAAATATGCCTTTATTGGACAGACTATTATTTAAAATATAGAAGTTAATGCTTTAAAACAGAGTACATTTAATTGAGTAAACACATGATTTTCACAATTTTTACTTGCACTCTTATTTAGGACAATTTGCTTTCTTTTGTGTTAAATTTATAACACCAAAAAAAACTCAACACGATGAATGTTCAGATTTTGATTGTTGACCAATCCATGACAATCCAATAACCCAACAAACTCCTTTAAAAATTCCCTTTCCTGAATTAACCAAAGCTTGAACCTTTTTGCCAAATTTTTAAGGAATATTTCATTTTGAATTTTTAAGACTTTGGTTGAACTTTTTAGTGTCATTATTTTATGGTATACATCAGGTTGATTGCATACACTATATAATTAAATGTTTATTGTGTTACACCAAGGTTAAAATAAATATGATATTTGATTACAAAATGGAATTTCATATTTCAAGCAAACAAGCTCAAAAATATTATGCTATATATGCAAATAATAATGAAAGCTTGTCATCAATAGCAATAAAATGGTTTTCAAAGTAAACATCTCAACGTTGCCCATACATGGTTGAAGAAATAATGTTGTAGTAATACTGGGCAATATCAGAGACAGACGCGTTACCTCTGACGTTTCGTCACTGCTAGGACCGAGTTCCTGGTCAGGCGACTCATTCGTCAAGGAATCAATATCTTGATTCAAATGTGAAGCTTCTTCCTTAACTTTAATGATCTCCTCTACTGATGGTTTCGGAGATGGCTGTGGAGGAGATTTCGGAGGAGATTTCGGAGGAGACTTTGGAGGAGATTTTGGCGGTGATGGGGCTGGAGATTTACGTGGCGAAAGTTCTGGTGATGGTTTTTCAGGACTTTCTTCTTCTTTGCTTTCTGGAATCTGATTTGCTGTTTCTGGCTCCAGTACTTTTTCTTCTGGTTTTGCAGGTTCTTGCTCTTTTTCCTTGGGCTGTGGTTTGGTTTCCGTTGGCTTTGGTTTTTCCTTTACATATGAACAATATGGGGTAAACATTATGTCAAAACACCATCTCAGAAAATATTTGTTAAGTATATATACATTTAAATTAAATCTTAACATGTAAAACTACATCAGGGTATCAGCCGATGCAACTTACTTTTGGGAAACTACCTGTGTTTTTGTCATCTGTCACACTAATGTGTCAATTGTGTGCAAGACTGGATGTTTTCATACAGACAGAAATTTCCACAATTCAGAAAGTATCAAGTTGATCCATGTGAAAAAATGATACATGAACTTATCAGTAACTAGGAATCTAATGTGCAGGAGGAAATGATTCCATACCAGTTAGGTAATTGATAATTAGATATAGAAGATGTGCTTTATGTATATATATCAAAGCTTTGAAATCAGTTTCACTAGTATGTGAGTAAAGCATTGAAAAGCTATAGGTCAGATCACTGGCATGCAAGCCTACTGTTCGTCATCTTGCTTTTCTAATCAGGTACATATCAAGTATGCACGAAAGGTTGATCTAATTTTTTCATACTGAGAGAAAATCACCACAATTTAGACCTGTGAACAAGCTACAATGTTTCTGAGATTGTGTTTCAGAATATTTTCTAATGGTAATGTCAACAGAATAGAAGTTTTTATAACACGACCAGTAGAAGATCAGAGTGTGATGGTTCAATAACTACATGGTCACCGTCATCAGACAAATGACAAGTGTGAAGTGAATTACCACTGAGGTATGTAGTGTACAAAATAATGAGGAATCAACCAACTTTCTCGGCTGTACAATCACCCTTTGTACACTAAAGTCGAAAATAGTGTGAGGTTTTGATAAATAAGATATAAGATATAGCTTATTTAACAATACTTAATGGTTTATACAGACCTTCGAGGACTTACTGAAAGTCTTTCCCAAAAATTTTACATTTGCTATTTATTGGTTCAAAGAGTAAAAATACATTTTTTTCCCCCTTTTTTTCGCAAGAATCAAAAAAACAAAAAAACACACAAATACAGCAAACTTTTGGGATAATCCACAAACTTATTACTTTAACAATAAACATTTATATTGTCATAAAAATCAAATTAGTAGTTGACATCTTTGTCCTCTGTATATAAATTCCCAGAATTTATAATAATTATAGATTGTGTTCCAGAACTGTTCTAGAATATGTTTATTTTCCAGAACTTTCTGAAAATGACATTAAGATCTAAAGTTTATTACAATCTCTATGAACCATGATTATATATTTATTTAACTGGCTTTATGTTGGTTTTTATGGCCTCTTGACAAATCAGCAGAAAAGCTGTGAATTATAAGCATGAGATGTGTTTATGTTATAAATACTGGTTTGCATGTTATATCACTGAGCAATGTTTTTTATGCATTTTACCTTCTCCGGAATCACCACCCGTTCTGGAGTCGGAGATTTCTTGTCGCTGTCTCCACTAACGGATACATTATCTAGGTCGGATATAGACGATGCATCACTCATGTGTTTCTATGTAAAAAAAGGAAACAAAATAGAAAAGTCTATATAATCCTAACATAATTATTAAAGAAACAAAATATTTCAAATTTTACTGCCAATAAAATAAAAACAAAAAATAGCTTCATTGAAAAATAAATTGTAAATGGTGCAACAAAACAGCTACCTAAAACAGCTATATCCTCTTCATTTTCATTTCAAATCCCGTCAACTTGTATTTTTTTAGTTAAGTGATAAAAAGTATTTTTGATACGTTTTCCTTTTTATATGAGATTTTAGAAAATTTGAATATTCAACATTTGCTTTTTACATAAAATCTCAAATGAAACAAAATAACTTTAAAGATCATACATATGTGGTCCTTGTAGGTGAATACATTAAAATCTCCCAAAGGATTTACCAATTCATACGTACATTGATACATAATACCCACTTATCAACTGCTCAGAAAATATAAGGGAGAAAATAATCTGTTTATCGAAACACTAGGAAACCACGTCCATCCTCAACAGAGGTAACTCAGTAGACACTGAGTCAAATACTCCGTAGAAGTTCCCAAGATAGTGAAGGTACCTGGTGCACGATGCGTTATATCTAGTCTTGAAAGCTGCAGACTACTGTACTTTTAAACTGATTGGTAGACGTGACGTGCTGAGATGTGCTTTTCCTAGGTGCCATATCTTCATGCTTACCTTCATTTGTATAATATCCTCATCCTCACCCAGGTCCTCAATGACCTCTACGACCTCTGCCTTAGCCTCTAGGATGAGGTCAACCAGGTCTGACTTGTCGGTGTAGTCACGGATGAATGGGTGCTAAATAACACAGGAATTATCTTACAGGTGTAACTATCAAATCACAAAGGGAAAGTAAAAATAAGAAAAATTATGGCAAAACTAACGATATACTGTAAAATCATATATTTCTGTGGAGTTCAAATTTTATGATCTTCCCAAAATATACATTTTTGTTGGAACTTGACGTTGTGGATAAATCTTGATTACAATATTCAATAGTACATGTAATATAATCTATGTCAACGTCATTTCATAGACATATATATTTGCGGATTTAGAGTACCCATGAATTTGAGGAAATAAAGCCACCACAAAAATTAACGATTTTATAGTATCACAAACAACGCGCATGTAAAATATGTTTCAATCAAATCACACAATATTGATAACCATGGCAAAATATCTAAAAAAAAATAAAATGATAGAATTACCCATGGGAAATAACTCTTCTTGTAGGTCATTTCAGTTATTGCGATTTCTGGTTAGTATATATTTCATGGGAAATGATAATGGTGATAACAAACAGTTTCAGGGGACAAAATCTTTTCTCCTTTTTTTTCTTTTTTTAAATCAGACATGTGAAATTGACTTTACCATTAATAGTTCTTCAGCCGTAGGTCTCAGATCGGGGTTCTTCACCAAACACATATTCACAAAATCCTTGAAGTCTTTAGACCTGCAAGAAATACATGATCCATAAAGATGATACTTGTCTTTAATATATAGTGTATTCATTAGAACATGTGTAATATCTCACAAGTAATTATTCAGCTGTCATTCTCACATATACCAACATGGACAACCATTTATAAAATTTAGAATTTAAAAACAATCAGTTAATGTGTTTCAACACAAGCCAGGACTTAAAAAGGCCTCTATATATATCAGCATTGTACATGCTTTTTAACTTGTAACAAATGACAGAAGTCAAATTTTTTTCAAACTTTTTTCAGTCAAATGGTTTCCATGGTTTTTTGGGTACTTGATTGATGGTCCATAAACATTTCCCAAAATAGTACAAATATTTTCATTTTGGAAGAGAGTAACTTACATTACTTATAATTATAAAAATATAACACAGCAATTATTCTTAAATAAAACTTGGTATAGTCTACACCTAACTTTTATATCATTTTCTTTCCATTTCTGATCTTTCATTTAATCAATCAGATGGAAAACAATTCGAGAAGCAGGATAGGCTCATACAAACCCTTTCCCAATTCATTTTCTGTAAAATGCAAAAATTTTGATGTTTCTCAAAAAATATCCTTTTTCATGGCCACCTGAATTAATGGATTAATATTATCTATGAAATCAGACAAGACTAAGAATTTCTTTCCTCAATGTTTAAATTTAGCTATGGCAGTAAAGAGTGCCCTCGAAATAACCAAACAAATATCCTATGGAAATAAATGATTGTACAGAATTGTTCAGACAAACCTGTGTGCAGGTACTTACCATCGAGACGGTTTGGCAAGGGATGGCGGGTCAGACTTCTGGATTTTGATGAGAACTCTCATTGGATGCATATCGTGATTGGGTGGCTCCATTTGGGCAAACTCTATCAGAGTAATACCTGTAACAGAAACATCATCATTTTCACAGATAAACAATATTTAACACTGATTGGAACTTCTAAGTTGTTTCTCCTCGGGTTTTGCTTGTTTGCTAGTTATTTTGCCCCATGAACAGCCCGGGTCAATTTCAGGTGGGATCTCCCTGTAGCAGCTCATGGCTACTGCACTGAAAAATTTATGGGAGGCCCGTTACATGTTAAGAGCAACTGGGGTATAGTGTCTTGCCCAGTGACAAAACCATGTCAGCATAGATTGGTCCATTTCTCAGGTTACTGAGAAGCACAAACCACCACAGGTAATAAGTGTCAAACAATGCACCTTTGTCTGAGGTTATATAGAACAAGGCTCTAACAGACTGAGCTATCATGGCCCCACTTTTATCTTTGTAACACTATACTGTGAGGAACATGTCTTATACTGACCTAGTGACCAAATATCTGCCTTGGTGTTGTATGGACTGTCCTTCAGGGTCTCACACATGATAACTTCTGGCGCCATCCTGTCAACACAGAAAACATTTTAATAAAACGTTTTTAAGAACAAAACAGTATTCTACTAGTGATTCCATTTTCTGTTTTTTTCAACTTGTCCAAGAATAATAATTTGTGCATAAATCCCTTGTCCTTATAAGAAGATGTCTACAAGACAAATGCCTCAATTCTTATACAAATTTGCTGATGGTTTTCTACATATCAATGGTGGCCTTGAACTTTGAACTCTGAAACATAATTTCTCTAAATTGATCTTAGAATTAACTTGCCAAAAGAAATGAAATCACCGATGATGACACAACATGCCATATCAGGGCTCTCACACCCCATTTAGGGACTGGGGCCTGGGGCCCTTTGAATTGGGAAAAATAATGGCGTTTTCCTTAGAATTGGGAAAACTTGGGGTCTAAATTGGGAAAAAAAGATACTATTTTGCATTGGGAATGGGGTCGAATATCGGCCCCAAATCTGGCAGATCGACAGCCCTGCATATGTATAGCACAGGACAGAATGAATACTGGTAATTGGTGTTATTTCCGTGGGAAGATTAATTTCATGATTTCAATAGGCAAACTGTATGCAAGGGGGCTATTTTCGCATCCAATGTACCTTCTTTAACCAATATACCTTCGTGCATTTAATGTATACTTAGATATGTATGTAATACTACCCAAATTCATACACAATGGTGAATAACTTCAGTATACCTATTTAGTGTACATTTCTAAGTTTACAGTATGTTAAAATATTACTACTTACCAGTAGGGGGTCCCAATGAAGGAGTCCCTCCGCTGCGCAGTTCTTGTATTCTTGGCAGACACACCAAAATCAGCTATAGAATAATGTAGAAAGATCATAAAACGATTTTTATAAGTGTAAACAATATTCTTGTGTTTATTTCTAAATATACACATCACAAATCTTAATACATGTAGAAATATAGATATAAATGAGAATCGGAAAACAAGCTGGAAGCTTTTAATCATTTTTCTCTTCTGTCAATGAAAAATTGCTTTACATCCGTAAGTATATCTACAAATATTGTTAAACAGCAAAATTGCAGATGCCCAAAGTCATAACTAATATACACTGATTTTTTAATCTATTTTCATATCAGTATTAGGGGTTGGGCGATTATATCACAATATTTGTGAAGTGACAATATATTGCAATCAAATTTTCAGAGTAGCAATACATTGCAGCAAATTTCTACAAATTTTTTTTTTTTGGGGGGGGGGGGAAGGTTGTTAATGGCAGACAGTTTGTCTAAAAATTTTATTTAAACCCCAACTCAACTTGTTTGATGTAATCTTAAACCTGAGTGGTGTTATTACACTTGAATATTATATAGTTTTTTGTACACCACTGCATTAATTAAACTAGTGCTTTCTCATGTACAAGTTTGTTTTAGAAAAAATACTTTGACAATAAATTACCTTGTTATATATGGCAATATGCTTTTGAATATATGAATACAATACAAAAACTGTCTGCAATATCCATCTATATCACTATACTTTACAAAATTTTGATTTACTTAAATTACGATTTACAAGACAAGACAACCTACAGACTGCTCTGTTCATATTTGTTTACATATTTTATTTATTTTGAAGGCCATCTGGACATAGAAAGGAAGTTACAAAGTAAATTTTAGATGTACGGTACTAATTTGTTGACAGCATGTAAGGTTGGGCATCAGATATGTTCTGAGGGACTGACACGAGCAAGGTCAATAAATAATATGTGCAAATTATGTCAGCATATTAATCAGTTATAAATAGATGTAATGTAATCAGTTGACCAATGGTCAGCGAGATTTGGGATATCATATTTCAGAGCAGAACAAAATGACATGATTGGTGCACTATAGGTTTTATCAACTCTCTTTTTTTTTAATAAACCTTGGGATGATTTTTCTTAATCTATAATTAGAAGATTAAGTAGCAGACAAGAGTCTCTGGTGAGGTTGTTTTTTTCAGCAGTATGTAATCACAAATTCCTGGATAACAATAGAAAGTGGTACTGGAGCAGAATTAACATTTCTTTTTCTTTCTTTCATTTCCAGTTTTTTTTTTCTATTTTCAAAGTCTCATTTAATCTTTTTTTCTTTTAATTTTTTTTTTTCTTTCAGTCTTTCTTATATATCTTTTTTATCTTTCTTTCTTTCTTTTAAGGTTTCTTATATTTTTTTAATTTTCCAATCCACAATTTTTCCTTCTTTCTTCTGTTTTTTTTTCCTTTTTATTCTTAAATCCTCAATTTTGAAAAACTATAATTCTAAGAAATCATTCCCTTGTAAACATTTGAATGAAACACTTTATCTTAACACAAATGATAACACGTTTTTGTTAATAGTAAGCCTAACCTTATCTAATACTGTTAAAGATTGGGACTGACAGGTACAATGCTGACTAGCAATCCTGATGTGTATCCCATGTTTCAGATCTTGTCCACCCAAACTTGCTGATTTATGAGACTCTAGCAAATTGCCAAAATTTGTTCCAATCAGAATTGTTATTGTATTGAAAACATTTCTGAGTAAGCTCAGGATCACTGACAGATGATTTGAAATAAGACAACACTCAGGATAAAAAGAGGTGCAGAATCAAGGGAGGGACGCTTGTTTTACCGCCCATAAATATAATCAATAGGTCTTGATTGTCAAATGAAAAAAGTTCTATCAAAAACAACAATCCATATTTTTATATTTTTTTTGATGAAAGACCAGGCCATATGCCATAATGCTACAGATGCTTAAAATACAACATGTACCCAGTTTGACCTCCCCGTCGAGCGTGAGAAGAACATTGCCGGCTTTGATATCTCTGTGAATGACATGCTGTTTATGGAGGAACTGCAGTGCCACACATATCTCATGACAAACATAGCGAATCATCTTTTCTGTAAGGGGTTTCTCAAGGTCCACCATTATACTGTCCAAGGCACCTCCTCCACAAAATTCGATGTACATCTTAAAAAATAAGAAAAAATCATCCTTTACATTCTAAACCAACATTGTTAATTCAGTAGAAAATATAAAATTAGAGGTAAATCAATTTATTGCAATATCTATTTTATGGACACTTAATTTTGTAGATAAATAACCCTAAATCAGTCTTTAACAAATCATGGACCCATGAAATTGTGGATTAAGAACACTTTCCATATCAACGAAAATAAATCCCCCACGAAAATTTATGATTTTACAGTATAAAGTGATATGACTTACAAGTTGTGATATTTCAGAAAACAAGCACTTTAAGATAGCCATCATCACCATCTTTATATGGCCTTGACCTTTACAAGAAGATAAAACTCCAAAACAACCAAATCTAAATGTCAAACAAATGTAATTTCTGACCAGGGAGTACCGTCAGTGTACTTTCTTTGAACACAAAATCAATTTTTGGCTTAAAGTAGTACAGTTAAATTTGCACACATACATACAGTATATAGGAACACTATAAATGATTTATTGGAGCTGGAGCTCTCACTATTGGTTCAACAAATCCAAACTACCTTGTTATAAATCAAAGCCAGTGAAGACCTATCTTTTTCTTCTGAAAAGCCAATCAATTCCACTTTTACATCATTAACAGCCATGATGGAAGTGGAGAGGGAGGGAGGGGGGGGAATCTGCAAAACGGTGCAATCTCTGATATCTATTGCCTTCTAGAAAGATGAACAAATCTAATACAGCAGTATGTATTATAAATTATACAGTTAAATCAAAATGTTCAAATTCAAACAGTTAACAATATGGTTTGTTCTGGAGTTGTTTATGAAATGGGGTTTTTTTTAGCATCTTTTCAAACAATGATGCTAAAAAGATTGGAGAATATATTGCAATCAAATTAAATCTTTCCTACCACCTCAGATGAACATGTTACTTACATAAGTTATAGCTATGTTAAGAACTGGGTATTATTCTCTCAGACCATAATGATATAAAATATCAATTGTTTCTTTGTTTCAATTGTGGTTTATCACCCTATGAACTTGCAGTCACAGTCATTTTAAGGAGGGAGTCTCTCTGGTCGTTACTCCAGTGAACAACATACAGAAGGCATATGCATGTTATCCATAGCAATTGTGATTAAGTGTATATGTTATGTACACAGACACAACCACAACAAAACAAACTGTTTGGCTTCCTGAGAAACCCACAATGGGAAGGGAGTGTTGAACCACCACACCTGGTATAATCTCCTACATAGGACAATGCTGTACAGGACTGAGCTATTGAAATCATTACCCATACAATATCAGTTACATGTATCTTCCTTACATGAATATGATGAAAATATTTTTTACAATCACCAGGAAATGTTTTTCGGCCCAGTTTGTTGCATCAATTACCTCTCCAAAACACTTGTCAACATTATATTTCTGACAAAGGAGTCAAATACTTCCTAACTTTGTTATCAACCTCTGTTTTGGAATAAAAAGGTTATTTTTATTCTGTGTATCTGGTATATTGTAAAATTTTGATTAAACTATATTCAGTAGGTTTTTGTTAATATATGATTATAGATAGAAGGCAAACTTGACTTCCAATTATGAAAAACTTTCTTATTCTTGCATCACAATCTAATGATATGACTCACATCTGAAAAATTTGTTTTTAAATTTTGAATGAATTCCATCAAAACACATTTTAAGTCTACAATGCCTCAGGACTGTGTATACTTCAATCTCATAATACAACATGTTATGACAGATTTCTACTTTTTCCACAGATAATTCAAAGACGGCTTCAATTTCATTTATAAGTAAATTGGTAGAGAAAAAATGAAATTTCAAAAATGCCATGCCAAACAGATCAATTTTTTACAAAGGACTACAACTCTATATATTACACGGCCAATTAGGACCTGGTATCAGTATGTGACACTGTTCCTATCTCATTAGGCACATACTGTCTTAACAAACAGAACAAGGTTAGCTGGAGCAAATAATCATCTCAAAACGAAAAAGCATGTTAATTTAAATGCCGTATCAATAAAGCAATAGAACATGAAATATGAAGGGTAAGTGAAGTGTAAATGTCCACTGCTTCATGGACGACAATCTGGGTAAATAGTGTCATAGTTTCAAATAACTTCCAGACTTAGATTTATAACAACAAAACCACTAGGCACACAAATAAACAAGCAACTAAATTGATATCGCACCAAGAAAGAGAATACCTTTTCAATGAGATCATAATGCCAACTATAAAATAAGCGATAAACAGTAAACAAAGGGCAATAACTCTGAATAACTGTATGAAGTATCATCGGTATCCTTGACAAAATAAGGAACAAAGGGCAATAACACTGAAAGTCAAGTGTATACACCATTGTTTGAGGTATTATTCTTGACATAATGAACAAACTGGTGTCAAACTTATCTAGTTTCCTCCATAGATCTTGAGATTGTTTTGTGTATGTCTCAATAACTAACAAACCACATCAATTTACTAAAGGTTAAGTTCCTTCTTCACATTCCCTATCCGGATTCATGTTAACAAATTCAATACGTCTTGTTAAACAGGAAGCAAATGAAACTACAATGGCTGGTTTTTCAATACTGAAACATGGGATAAAACATACAATCTTTATCTATACAATTTGTTTATATAATCAAAGTAATTTCCAAAACAAACACTTCATAATTTGGCAATGATGAAGGCGACGACGATGACTGCATTATAGTAAAAAATGAAAGAAAAAAAAAAGATACTCAATGGGTCTACAGCTATATATATATATATCAACCAGTGACCTTGAATATTATTCAAGGTCATTTCTTTTCACAAACTTGGTTGGGCTTCATCCTGGGAACATGCCATTGAAATATTATGCCTCAAGGCCGTTTAGTTCACGAGAACCTTTGCACCAGGTGAGCTTAAAACCTAAGCCAGTTTGAAACTCTTCAATGATCTTTAAACTTTCAGAACCAAGTGGAAACCACAAACAAAAGTTAAATGGTGATCCTCCATCCAATACTTTTCAAGAAATAGGCATAAGAATCTTTTTATTTAATCAAAATCCAAGATGGCCAACTAACAACCATTTTGTTTTTCTGACCAGTCCCTAATATAATCAAAAAGACACAACTAGGGATCAAGGGGAACTTCTATATCAAATTTGGAAAAGATACATCCCGTAATTCTACAGAAATAGCCATAAAACAAGTTGTTTCAGTATGGACCATGGACATTGGGATAGACACCATTTGGTGATGGTAGGGCTAAAATGAAATTGATAAAGAAAAGTGTAACCTGTTTTAAAATCTATCAACAAAATATTTCCATTTGCTACAACTTTAAGCAAAACAGTAAAAATACCAACAATCATAATAATTTAAAAACCTTTGATTTAAATAGAAACCATGTAAAAGTTCAATTATACCGGTGTACAGTGTTACAATACAGTAAGTCTGTTGTAATTGTTAAATTGTTAAACATTGCAGCTGTCATCAGATTACCAGTAGTACACAATACAGAATAATTTCACCATCAGTATAATGTAGTGTTTGTGCTTCTTTACTTCACAACAATTAGGAACATTTCAAAGACTGATATAATATACCATGTTTGTGCTGACTACATTGTTACGAGCAGTGTTGTGTCTATATATACATATATGGACCCTTTTGCAATTATAACAAAATGAGGCCATATCAAGAATTTTCATTCATCTGGCAGACATCTTGAGTTCGCAAAAGCAATAAAATAAATTGAACAAAAATCTCAAGAGTGCTGATCATTTGTAGCTGATTAACCATACAGCTAGCTAGTCTTCAGAGAAAATTATACTTTATTAATTATTACAATGAATGAATGAGAGTTTATCCGTTATTTCAAAATCAAATTATGTTATCTACATTTTTATGATCATCACAGCACAAACATTACCATTATTAAATAAAGGACTTAAAAATTGATAATAGTTTTCAACTTGCAAACATATATTTAAGCACTGAACTACTTTCAGCATCCATAGGCTTATCAATGCGGAAAAGGAAAATTTGGTGAAGTGCATAGGTGCTTTATGATTAATTTCTCTGTTCAATATTTATATATCCTTATTGTAAATCTTGATCAAATATGGAGACATAAGTTCTAAAGCTTATTGGGTACAGTATAACACAAGCTCTGTTCAATTTTTCACATCCTTCTCATAAGAATTAACATATCCTGGTTAGGACATCCAATCTGAAATTTAAACTGACCACAACTTTATCAAGTTTCCTGATTCATTCATTATTGATGCTAATTTTCAAATTTAACCAACAAGCAAGGCTATGGATATTTGATACAAAAGAAAGTTCTCTCAAGATTAGCAACCAACTGAAAACAAGAGGTCTAATGGGCCTAAATCACTCACCTGGTATTTGATGATTTTCACAAATACATTAATATTTCACATCAATCATTCAAAGTCATGGTTCATAAAAAAGAAGTCATTTGAGTGTTTTAACAAATTTAACTTTTGTGACCTTGAATCAGGATCAAGGTCCTTATTTCAGGAACCAATCACCCAATTGTCATGATTCTAGGATTTTTGGTACATTAGATGAAGTTCTTTGAATATTTGGACCCTTGTGACCTTGAATGGGTCAATGTCACTTCTCACTTCGATGGGCTTCATCCCAAGAACTTTCTACTAAAATATCATGATTCTAATTCTTCATGAGGAAAGGTGTTTAAAGGGAAAAGTTGACCACAGACAACAGACCAAAGAATAAGCTCTTTGGTCCTTTGAATTCAGGCCAAGTGAGCTGGCAAGACACAAAGAAAATATTGAGAGGAAAAAACAAGGCACTGAACTTTCGAGCTTCATCACTTGAATTACAAGCTACAATAAGTTGTGGGGTAAACACATCTTTTTATCTAAAAATCCTAGGATGGGCTTATGATAAATTACGGGGCAATGAAAGAGCATATATGGGTGGGCTTATTACCAGGCATGGGCTTATTACTTGATGAATAAGAACAGCAAAATTACCCATAGGGTGGAATCCCAGTAAAAGGCTTCATAGAGTGACACAACATTTTGGTGTCGACATTCAGAAAGAATATCAATTTCGACGGTGAAGTCTTCCAGCTCCTCTTCACTCTTGATCTCGACCTGTTTGAGTGCTGCATATTGTCCAGTCTCCTTATTAAGAGCCTGTATAACAAAAAGTTGAAGTAAGTACAAACAGTCAAATTGTGTTTTATATATTCAGTACTAGAACAGACCACAAAATTCAGAAATGTTTGACTTTCAAAGAATCTACAGAAGTCCAGAGTCTGAATTTTGAAGGAAACGACATCCTGTATTTATCCAAAAATAATATTCTCTCCTTTAGTGTAAAGGTTTAGCATTAAAGTTTGGGAAGAGTTTCTTTCTTAACTAATTTTTGTTTACTATCTCAGAACTTATCATTCTGCAAAAATGAAGAAGGGGATTTATTTGCGGGCAAAGGCATATTGCTGATAAAACTGGTATCCATCATTTCTATTATTATCATTTTGGTATTGATGAGTGCAATTTATCAAAATATGATTGGCTTTCTGTAAAATACAGTCTTCTCTTAAATCCACTGAAAGATAAATTTGTCCTGCTTACCATTCTAATGTTTACATATAGGCACTGAAGTGGTAACTATGTTGCAATACCTTGTGAACTATTGAGAAATGTACAAATACATTTGGACAATTTAGCCCAGCATCGCATTTGATGACAGTCTCAACCCTTCATATAGCCTGCATCACATTTTCCCATTTATATATTCATACAAATTTAAATCAAATCAGATAAGGTGAATGTTTTGTAGTGTAATTTCTCAATTTCATACTAAATTCTGCTTACAAACAAGAGCTCCTTGCCTATTGATGACACATTTCATACCAATACAAATTTATCCCTTCTAGGCCCTATAAATACGAAAAAAGGGTCTGGTTATACGACTTGGCATATTGATAATAATTCATATCTATGCTTGAACTCTTTAATGATGTACAGCCCCTTAACATTTCTGATCCAGTACTACTTGAAAAAACTTTCTAAAAAGAAACCTTTAAATTTACTGCAGGTACTGTGGTGACTACATTACCTCCTCCCTTACCCCTCTCCTTCCTTCTTCAGGTTGACCAACAAAAAAGGTAAAAATAAAGGAAAAAATATTCCTATTTCTTGTTTTCAACATCTGTTCATGACATATTAAATAAATCCTTTTTTCAATAAAAAAAGTCAGTATAAATATTGACATCTGAATCAGATTGTTGGTACATGCGAATATTGTATCACTGTGGCGATTAATTAAACTAATACCATACATTACGTATAAATAGGCAGGATTCATTGAGAATTTCTGCACGAGACCTTTACGTTTCAGGCTGTTTCATTTGTTTACATAAATACAACTCACAAGTATACATTTATATATAGATGGATAAGTGTGTATGTGCATATGTACCTTTATGCTGGGTGTAATGTTAAAACCAATTTTTTATTTAATTTACAGTGTTTAAGCTCATTAAAAGATGTCTGTCGTATATATTGTCATTGATCAAACAAGTACAGCTGTTATAAAAATTACTAATAAAAGACACAAGAAAAAAACCCAAAACCTATTTGTTATATTCAGATGTCTTGAATTCAAAGTAGAAACTTCTGACAATGCATCAACTGGTACGGTTTTCTTCTAAAAACTTTAAAAACACATGAACATCTTCACTTTCAAGTACACAACCATAAACATCAAGCTTAAGTGTACTTCCTGTTCACGATCCATGCATGAATGTATTCAATGCACAGTCTAAGACTTGACAAACACTAGTATCCTCTGTTTATAATTATAACAAGAGATGGAAAATATGTTTGCCATCTAATACACAAACATGACCAAAAGGAAATATTCTTATTTTTCTTTTTTCAGCCATAGGGTTATTTTTGCACAATGTATATTTATCAAACCTGTCCATAATGGCCACTAATATAGAACATAGTAAAAGTGACCTTTATATACAAGTTTAGCTATCTTTTATCATCATGTTTAATTTCTACATGTTCATTATGGTCTTTAAAGACAGGTATTTGTTAAAAAGAGGTTTTACTGTATATACGCACACTATATCACACATGTCGCATGAAATTCCCCTATTCTCTCTATCTAAGTATCTCTGTATATACGCACACCATATAACACACGTCACATGAAATTCCCCTATTCTCTCTATCTAAGTATCTCTGTATATACGCACACCATATAACACATGTCATATGAAATTCCCCTACACTCTCTATCTAAGTATCTCTGTATAAACGCACACCATATCACACATGTCACATAAAATTCCCCTATTCTCTCTATCTAAGTATCTCTGTATAAACGCACACCATATCACACATGTCACATAAAATTCCCCTATTCTCTCTATCTAAGTATCTCTGTATATACGCACACCATATCACACATGTCACATGTAATTCCCCTATTCTCTCTATCTAAGTATCTCTGTATACACGCACACTATATCACACATGTCACATGAAATTCCCCTATTCTCTCTATCTAAGTATCTCTGTATATACGCACACCATATAACACATGTCACATGAAATTCCCCTACTCTCTCTATCTAAGTATCTCTGTATATACGCACACCATATAACACATGTCACATGAAATTCCCCTACTCTCTCTATCTAAGTATCTCTGTATATACGCACACCATATAACACATGTCACATGAAATTCCCCTATTCTCTCTATCTAAGTATCTCTGTATATACGCACACCATATAACACATGTCACATGAAATTCCCCTACACTCTCTATCTAAGTATCTCTGTATATACGCACACCATATCACACATGTCACATGAAATTCCCCTACACTCTCTATCTAAGTATCTCTGTATATACGCACACCATATCACACATGTCACATGAAATTCCCCTATTCTCTCTATCTAAGTATCTCTGTATATACGCACACCATATCACACATGTCACATGAAATTCCCCTACACTCTCTATCTAAGTATCTCTGTATATACGCACACCATACCACACATGTCACATGAAATTCCCCTATTCTCTCTATCTAAGTATCTCAGATCATGTATCTTTGATGCAATGGACGAGAGAGATTCCCTGTAATGAAGCTTCAAAGCTTTCAGAGGTCAAATATGCACATGTAAACTAAATATGTTTGTAATGTGCTACACTGATTCTTAAAAAGACTAAAAATATCCAACCAATAGGGGTGAGTGACCCTGAAATTGACCCTGGTCTAAATAAAACAGCTGATTTTTTTAGCTAGAAAAGATTTGATAAACATTCATGTATACACTATTACTATTGATACTGTATGTATAGTTTTAGTGATTTCGACGACTAGACATTTATAGACATATATATACAACAAAATGATTTAGTAAATTATAACCCTATCAATGTTTCATTCTCTGATGACCAACCAATTGCAAAGAGCAAAAATCCCATATAAATTGATACTACACAGAAAAAGCCTTGATCAATTCTAAAACCTGCACATTACATCATAATGTGAGTCACGGCCCTATGTTTGTTACAGGAATGGCACAAGGGCTGTTCCTTTCATCAAAGTGTATATATACATATTATGCATGTGTAAAATATGTATGACCTGTGCATGTTTTAAAGTCGTGAGAGGGTAACATCTTAAATAGTTTTCTCATTTACATACATATTGTATAAAACCCTTATATGTCAAAGGTCAACTCAAAATATTTTGTTACGACAAAATATGGAGTGACAGCACATGTATATTATCATTTTATTACAATTCTGTTCCGATACATGCATTCCAAAAATTTCTATCAGTTTTAAACAAGGTCATTAAATCATAACAAACCTTTAACAATTTGCAAACTTTTCCCAGGTTTAAGCTGTCTAAACGGAATCATAAATTCCAAGGGTGTGTATACATAGTGTGTACATAGTGTTTGCGGTCTCAATACATTTCTATCTCTCTCAACTAATAATTTAATCATCTGACAAAGTTACCCTCGGACACTATCGCGTCCAAATTCGCCTTCAGATAATGCTCCCAATAATAATACATGAATGGACAGTGTATACTCAGGATACCTGAACATATTTCTATAACACAGTGGTCTTGTGTGATTTCTATTACAGGTACACATTTCTCTCACAGAACGAAGATCTTAGAAATTCTCCAATTTTGTTTTTGATAAAATCAAACCTTTGGCCCATATTTAAACTGCTGTTATATCAAAATATTAATTGGAATCTGATCTTTTACTTTATGTAATTTGAAAGGTCCATATTCTGTTTCTCTCTCACACTTTCTAGTTTAGACTAGCCAAATAAATGATTTTTTAATCATGTATTCCACATGTAAAAATTGAACGAAAGATACAAAAGCGAATTTCAAATGTAGAGCACATTTCAATTAAATTTCAAACTATACAGAGACAAATAATTGATTGCATCATATAGCACTTTCATCCTTCTGGGGCTCATCAGAAAAGCTAAATAGTGAATAAAACTGCATCATACAGCTTCTTAAATTCTTCAAGGACTTGTGATTGATGCTAAGAGCCTTAATTTTAAAACATTCCAGGCGACTGAGAAAAAAAATCAAAATTGTTTAAAAGAAATGTGAAAATCTAGGCAGGGAGATGCATGCTCTAGCCCCCTAATTAAGTATCGCCTTGTGAAATGGGATTCAGTTTAGTTTCAAACTAAATAAAATAGTCAATAGAGATGTTTTGTGGTTCTTAAATTTCTGTATCATCCTTAAGCTTGTCCAAAAACCCATCATCATCTAAAGCATTAACCATAAGTTCACTGAAGTGTTTTTTAACATGTCTTATGTAGTAAGTACTATCTATACACAAACACACATCCATTGGTATATATATATATGGAGCTGATGGGCTCCAGGCAATTATAATGTATAGACTGAGGAGAACACATAATTTATCACGTCCTCATTACAGCTCAGATTAGAGGAGCTTCTTCCTGTGATTTCTGATGCAGATGTTCATAAATTATGAAGGCAAAAATTAATTGTTTCATTATAGATGCAGATAATTGTGAATTATGATGACTATAAATTTTGAATATTATGATTTCAATGGAGCTTTTCAAACAATTTTCACATCAGCTTACTTACTTGATCAATAGCATACTTAGGTAATTAATATAGATACTGATAATATACATGTACATAATATAATTTAATTATCTTCATCAGTTACCTAATGCCATACCCACTATGTGTATAACATACATAGCAATTTTTTTTAATACAGATACATTACATTTTTATCTGCACAATATGTATTACATGTACTTATATTTCATGAAGGGAGTAATATTTCACACCGCAAACCCAGATTATAAGAGGCCCATGGGGCCTACAGTACAGTTTCTTTGATCATAATCAGTGCCCGCCATGAAAGGTGCACTGTTTTAGTTTAGTTTTCTCCTCTCTAAAGTCATCTGTAAATTAGAGCATACTTTGTTTTAAATAAAGGGTTGCAGTTTTATCTATCATAAAGACACAAGATGCCTTATTGGGCTGAAGATCTCACCACTTCCTATATATTCTATGTTTTTCATATATACATATCTATTAATCTCACATAATTATCATAATCATTGACAATTTCTAATTACTCAAGTTTACAAATCCTGGTTAGCACTGTTCTAGGGACCACTACCAAATTTAATACCCGATCATTTTTTAAGACTTCTTCATGATTTAGGGCAATATCAACTTAGGAATTTCAAACTCAAATTCATTCATCTTGAACTGATGGAAGGTTTAGTGTACTAATCTTTTGAATTGCCTGATTCCCAAACTAGTTCAAATTTATTCAGCACATGTGAAGTGATCAGGGATCATTCAGTCAGTGGAGTGTTGGCCTTGCAACCTCATAAGGAGTAGGTCCCAGGTGTGAGAATTGACCTTGGATACAATACCCACAGTAGATTGGTTTTCTAGATCAGGAAGCTGAGAAACAGGACCAATCGCATCCTCAATACTCCAGGGGTTACGATAGCTTTCGATCTCTGAACCCTGGAACATGTCATGGCAAAACTAAAGGCACAACACAAGCGAAGTAATTTTATTGGTTCCAATCACAGGCTGACGTGCTCCTTTGAAGATTACCAAGAAACGACACCTTCCTTAAAAGCCATTACAATATACTCTGTAATGCAAACTCAAGGTTTGTTAGATGTAGATTAAAGAATCAACCTTTAATTTTGCCATGACATGTTCAAGGTGTGCAGAGATCAAAAGTGATTGTGACCCCTGGAGTATGGAGGGTGGACCAGTCTGTGCTGATGTGGTTTTGTCCTTTGGTAAGACACTTTATAATTGTTCTGGATGGCTGCATAATGAGATGGGATGCTTTAATTTGTTGGCTGCTTACACGATTGATGTAACCACCATCTAGCACAAAGAGACCTTGATTCATAATGACCTTGGCTTTTCTTGAGGAGTCCATAAATCCAGCAAACAAACAATACCCATATCCATATACTTTGACCAAGTAGCTGGACAGCAATAAGCTACATATATCATGTCAAATTTGAATGTCTTGAGGTCATATATGTTATCATGGTCTTTGTAAGCACACTAAAGCTACACAAAAGAGAATTTTTTTCTCTCTCATCAGTGATTTTTGGGACTCGGATATTTAAGTCCTGGATTCATGCTTTTCCTGTGGGACTCTAATTATGAGAACCCACTATAAGTCTTTGTAACTGGACTCATTAAAATTTTGGAAATAATGTTCTGGAATAACCAAAAAAATTTTAAATCCCACAAAAATTACTTTCTGTATCATTTGTTTGTGTTTCATTTTTTTTTTTTTTTTTCATTTAAAACTATCTAAATACAATTCAGCGGAAGTTTTATCCCAAGTATGTTGTTGATATCATATATCTACTTGACCAACCATATGACTGATAAAATGTTTGTATCCCAAAGACTATAGTTTACATACAATGTATGTACAAATACATAATAACATTCATCTAAACCTTATTACTGTAATTACCAAGTTTATCAACACTATTATGTAGCTAACACTGACAAAAGTTACATTATTGTACATGTATAACTGTTAAATAAATAGAAAAGAGTCAATAGCTTTCATAAAAAGTCTACACAGTAATGTGCACATTACGTATATATACAACATCTCAAGTGCTTTGCTTAAGTAAATATTTGCCTTCACAGTAAGATCTACATCTTTTATATCAGACCCCTGATAACAAAGTCATTGATCAAATCGTAACACATAACATAAATTATTCATTCTGATACTCGATGCATGTTTAACACAGGTAGACTTGTATATTCCTTTATAATATATCTGTTGTTATGTGATGACAAAAAGTAATTCAAGTAGAGACAATAATGACAACATATTGAAGATCACATGGGGTTTAATGGATATTGTGTTTTGATAAATGCTACACCTGATTTGGATTTTAATTCAAGCAAGATAAAAATATAACAAAAATTCTTTTACATATGAAATTCTATATGGATCAGAAGATGATCATGATTTCTAAAGCAGTATTTCAAGCAGTTTTTAGCTCCTTTTACATGTATCTTCAACTCTTCAAATATGTACTATAACCTTGTTTTCCTATAAGGATTGAACAGCATTTATATTGCATCTATGGTGGTATGAATGCAATGGGATACATACACTGTATTCAATATAGCGTGCGTTTGATCAAGAAATCATTGAGAACAGAATATAAACAAATTATGCTTTAGAACATTTCTCAGTTTTGTTTTTGTTTTGTCACTTAGTGCACATCAAATTTTGTCATTTTTTTCTGATTAGACCAGAGTACCATTTTCCAAAATTTTGATTAGTCCAGTTACAAAGAAATACCATGGGTTCTCCAAATTTGAATGAATCCCATTGGAAAAACATGAATTCCGGACACAAACATTCAAGTACCAAGACCCATCGATTGCAGGTCTTATTGTTCCATGAAAAAATATGAGGAGGGGGATGTCTCAGTTGATGTAAATAAAAATCCACTTTCTATGATGTCACATGGTCTTGCAAAATTAAATCTTTGAAGAGTTTTTTAAAGTGTGTTGGGTTCACATAGAACCTGATTTCAAAATTTTAATGAGTTCCAATACTTAGAAAACAGTGGGTTTGCAAAATTTCATTGGGTCCTACAGGAAAAGCACTAGTCTAAGACTCAAATTTATCCTGCAACTGGCACAACTGTTGTCAGAAAACAGTACCTGCCACATGTGGTTTTTTTTTTAAATATTACGTTTAGAAATATATATAGTTGTTGAAATAAGCAATTCTACATGTTGTATTGAACATGTTGATCTATGAAAATTCATACAATAGTTGTTATATCCAATGAAGTTTGGAACTATGCAGCGCATCTGTCATAAGGCAAAATTCAGTGTTACGTCTACATTAGGTAAACACAGTTTGAACAACAAAACTGTTGAAGTTTCAAGTCTGATTTTCCATCAATGTTGCAAGATAAATAGAAAACATGGTCAATATCTTAAAATATAAGCTTTATTTTGGCTTGAAACAGAAAGACAAATGTATTCTCTTCATCTAAATCCCAAAAATTCCTGATTACCGTGCTATAATTGATACTTGAGATTATACTGATTATGATAAAGAACCAGTAACATGAAAATATATTGAAATAAACCATAACACTTTGAGATAGGAAAAACAATTAATTGAACAAAAAAAAAAATATTATCTGACTATAAATATACATGATGAAGTCCTGTTCTGCATGCATATATATCATGCTAATAAATTTAAGCTCTGTATCAGTGTTACGGCTAGAGCAGGACAAGCAGGTGCATGTGCAATGCACAAACTCAATATAGATTCAAGCATTGCAAGACAGCTATAGTGAATTTACTAATTAGTGAATATAATTCAAATCTTAGATAATTAATATGGATTGAAAACTAGGGAGACTCATGCTTTTTCAAAATAGGAAATGTTGACAGTCATATCTTATTTTTAGTTATTACTACCTCCTGTTATTTCTTGCTTCCCTTTAAATTTAAGAAAAAAAAGAGTCTATTTTGCTTTAGAATTAAATGCAGTAGTGAATTATCACAACAGACCATTTACTTCCTAGTTAGAAGAGGAATGACAGGCACAGTTTTGGAATCATTCAAGTGTAAACAAGCATGCATAATGTCCAGTTTGTCAGTACAGTCTCAGTATAGTATAGACCATGCATGTACGCCTAAGATCACTTTTACACATGATTATTACATGATTAATATCACAAATTGCATAAAAAGGACACATGAATCATACACTAAAATAGCATTACAACGCCCATGTGTATTCGGCCAAGTTACGGTAAGATTAGGGCGTTAACCAATATTTAAATACCGTGTTTTTGCCATTCATGTATCGGTGAATGTCAGTGAATGTGTTTCCGACAATAACATTGCAATGTCAATTTGTAATTTTCATTAATTTATCTACATCAGGATGAAGGTCGATAAGAAAAGGACTTCATAATTATGAAAAGAATCATGAACGTCATGATAATCTTCCTTCCGGCAAAATGCAATTTTAACACGGTGTCAACTTGACAAGTGAACTCGTTCAACACTAAATATGGGTCAGTGATGTTTAGTATTAGCCATGCGTAGAAGTTTTATGCGAATATTTTACCTTGTAAACTTTTCCAAATGCTCCGTCCCCAAGCTCCCCGACTTTCTCCCAAATTTGTGACGGATCTATGTCCCGTTTGATGTTTTTGTTAGCTTCCTTTTTCTTGGTCTCCTCTCCACCTAAACGAAAAAGTTTACGAAAACTGCTTAAAAATGACATCTCGATAGGGCTACGTGGCTTTTAGTTCGTCGAGTACCGTCACATTTGGATTAATTCTTAGACACAGTTTATGTTAAATATATAGATCTGATGGTCACACTAGCTAATCCAGTTCATCGTTTGCTGTAAAACAGTTTTTTTTGTGATACGGATATGACAGACTGTAAAATCTCTAAACGGAAAGTCGCCATATTTACTCCCTTTGAGCATGCGTGTTGAAAGAAAATGACATCATAAGCTTCCGGCTTAGGTGCTTTCTAGAAGTTATGTCCCTTTTATTCCTAAATACTACGCTACGCCTTCTGATATCGGCCGGTAATTATCTTTATATAATATGAAGTAGGCATTGCCTAAAAACGAGCGCAAGTTGGTCAAGAAAGTGCACATTTTGGACAGACTGATCCATGTTTGCAATGAAGCGTGTTTTTTTTTATTTGTTGTATATTTCGCAAGATTTGAATAAAACATCGACACATACAAATGTACCAATATATCAGCAGCAGCAGCAGCAACACATCTTCTTCTTCTAGAAAACATTGTATCACCATGATCAGGCGGCGGTTTGGTGGCACAGTTGTAACACACCTGTCTATTTCCTAGCCATTCGGGGTTCGATTCCCCGAAGGGATAGAAAGGATACAGGTTTCCACCCAAAGTTAGACCCCTCTCTTGCTTACAACAAGTGTGATTTTTATAAGTTGAAATAACAAAGTTTCCATATGTAAGTAAGTCATGCACATACAATCATACACCATGAAGGCAGACAAAGAAGAACAAAACCAGGACGACAAGATAACGCAAAATGTGACACTTTCCCTTAGCGAAGCTGTTTAAAAGAAAAACACACAATCATATATATATCAATGTTACAACAAGTTAATTTCTATTTATTTCTAATTGTTCCATACAAAGTATTGAAATGGAGAACTACTAGAGTACTAGCTTGATGCCTATACAAAGTATTGAAATAGAGAACTTCTACTAGAGTACTAGCTTGATGCCTGTACAATATCGGGTAATTACCTTGAATGGTTTAAGATAGCTGGTTTGAAAAACGTTTTGTGGTTTAGCCTATGTTTCCATGGTAACAGAAAAAGTATTTAAATGGCAATCTTCCCCATAGCAAAAGAGTCTACTAGCTTATTAAGTGTAAACAGTTTTGAGCAATTACCTTGTCAGAGTATTGGCCCAGAAAAACTGAAATTTTGATGAGGGTCATCGGTTTCAATGGTAACAATAAATGTATTAAAAAAGTCACTGACAACATATCTAGACTATAACAATTGATAAAAAAGATCTTCAAAATAAATGCATAAGAGGTTCCCTTTTAGAGTTACAGATATTGCAGAGAGGACTTTCTATCATCTTTGCTTTAAAAAAAGAAAGGATTTTGTCAAAATATGGTGAAAGAAAACATATTATAGTTTTAGTCGGATTTGTAAAGGTGGTGCTTATATATTTAACAAGTTTTCATTATTAAAATCGCAATGTTCTCTCCCGCCGTTTTCTTTTCTCTTTGCTATTGAGAGTTTTCGTTCTGTCCATTAACAAATCATAAAATGCTTCAGAACCTTCGGTTCTTTAAGCAATTTTAACTTTTCCTGGTAGCAAAAAGAGGGTAAAGTTATAAACCCTGTTGAGGCTATTCTGTTATACATTGTAATTAAGAAAATCAATATAAATATATATCTTTAAATAAAATTCTTATGAAAGCCACAATATATTACACAAACAAACTGCATTATTCACATCGTCTCGTTCACGGAAAGTGACGAAAGGTCTCGAACATTAAACCGGAGATCAGGTACATCGAAGCACAATCGAGCTCAAATCTTGAATGGTTAAAATTGCAATTTTTCAACAAGATATTTGTTATATACGTTTCAAACCATTAAAGTATATGTTTGTTAAATTCATCTGATATATTTAAGATTTTTAGTATGATTTCATTTCTACATGAGAGCTTAAAACGATATTTTGTTGGTCAAAACAATTTTTAATCCATTCAACGGGTCGGCAGTTCTCATTGCGTGCTGCGGCAAGTGTATTGTGGGTAATGAAGTTCCTGCCACACTTCCGTTTAAAGTAGATCGTATGGGCAGGTTGTTGGAGTTGAATTATCATACTCACACACAATACCATAAAGCGCTCGCTGCGCTCGCTATTATGTGTGTTATATTTATCTGAACAGAATAAGATGAAATAAAAAAAAAAAACAGATTTACTATAACAGTACAGATTGTTATTTCAAAATTGACAATCACTGAATGACGTGGGACAGTCAGCTGGGACTTGTCCTTGTGTCGGTTTCTTTTTCCGCGAGAAGAGAATGAATTTGATAACTGACCAACATATGAATTATTTTTCTATCTTAATAATACTGAACATTTACATTATCAGTTTTAAGTCAATTTTCAATCCATTTCGATTTTATTTAAGTCTACACGTGTACACGCCAATCTCAACTCAAACTTTTGACTATTTTAGGCAAGCTTCATCTCAAACTTTTGTTTGAGTAAAATCCAGATTTTTAATTTTTTGTTTATCCCGGGAAACCGAGTGAAATCCGAGCAAATCGGAGACCTCAGTCAAGCTCCAAATACTTCACTACAATGTTTATAAGCTATATCATGGTATTATCTTCCTGTAAAAAGTCGTTTATTCGTGTGACAAAGGACACTTTCAGATTAAATTGTCGTCATATAGCATTTATGATCGTTATGAATGACAGAGGTTCGCAGGAAAACGATGACCACATGGATGATGTCGGTTCACCTACAAAATCATAAATGTTATAACAACTCGGTTCAGTGCTGCATGCTGTTTGCCGGTATTTTGATTTTAACTAAAATAATCTTTCCTTTTAATACCGAGAGTGTAATATCCGTCAAGTGAACAGCCATTTGACGTTGAGCCGTACCCGACTATGATAAGGCTATGATCAGTCATCCACTGTACAAATGATCACACAATGGTAAAGGCCAGATGTATATGTAGTTTTCCATGACATCTCCAAGTTAGGCAAGAATCGATGACATTGAATTTTTATTAATTTCCAGTTATTTGGTTGTGAAAAATGGACAGATGTTCTCACGGGCAAATTTATTTATGGGGGATGTTCCCTGTCTTTCTCGAGAATTTCTTTTAAACACCAGGCAAATGCATATTGTTTCGATGTCATTTAGGTAGTGTAAAACTATTGATGAAAGCGTGTTTTATGCTTGTTGGTATGGCAGGTGGTTCCATGGCTGATACCGGTTTGAATCGACCAAGATGGCGGGTGTCACCGATGAAAAATTCTCTCGAAACACTGTATTTAACGCCTTTGTTTTATTTTTCAGTGGCAACAACCGGGGTGTTTCACTTACTGCACTGTATAGTTAATTCTAACTGGAACTGACAACAAGATTCACCAAGAAGCTTTCATATTCAAATGGCAACCATTTTTTTTCGAAAATGGTACCATTGTATTTGTCATCCCCTTAATATTTTTACATTATTTTTCAACTTAATCGGAGAACATTTTGAGTCAATTTTGACCAATCAAAAGTCTCCAATGTGTTACCATGGTAACGGTTGTCAAATCATAGACTATTATAAGCTATAGCATTTGGTAAAGTTTAAATAAAATCAATAAAAAGGTTCAAGGTTGACATAATTACCAAAGGCAACCCAAATTTCTGCATGCAAATTTGCATATCTACACATAGTCCCTAATATCATTGTGTAGTTTCATTGAAATCGGTCTACAGCCTTAGGAAGAAGTGAAAGATCTGTCTAATCAAAGGTCTCATGTACTCAACATAACAACCAAATGACATTCAAATCACATTTGATGTTTTTTTAATGATATATAAATTTATAGCACAATAGGACAATATCTCAATTTCTACCAATCAGGAGCCTCTATCATGTTTCCATACTAACGGTTCTGGAAACACCTGATGTGTCATTTACAGGCATTGACAAGTTTTACACCACTTGTTGATGAGTTACGGCTATTACATAAAATCACTGCATGCACATCCACATATGGCCCCTAATATTTCTGTGTAGTTTCATTGAGATCTGTTCACAGGCTTAGGAAGAATTGTTCGGATAATAAATTTCCATTTAAAAAAATGTATAGTGACATGGTTACCATGGTGACCAAAAATTCTATTTAAAAATTCCTGCATGCACATCTACAAATATGCATGGTGGCCAACATTCCTGTGTAGTTTCATTGAAATTGCTCCTCAAAATTAAGAGGAATTGCCTTCGAACAGACAGACTCCAGTATTCCTCTCCCCTAACTTCGTTGCGGGAGAGGGGTATAACTAACCTTTCAACAACCAGGACCATAAAATATACCAAATACCAAAATGGCACCCCATAAAGACATGAAACGACTTAGACAGACTAGGCCACAAGTCTCAGAGGGACGAGGGTGAAAGTAGCGTGGTGAATACAGATATATTGTAAGAGGATACAAAAGTTGTAACATAAAAAAACAGCCTTTGCGTGGTGAAATATCTATACACTGGTATATTTTGTTTAAGTGATGAGGTCCCACACGACACCAGCATACTCAAGATATATTACTGATCTTTCCGATTTTTTTATGCCCTCAGATCGAAAGATCGGGGGCATATTGTTTTGTGCTGTTTGTTTGTTGGCAACTTTAACCTTGTCCATAACGATTGCACCGTTAGAGGAAGGCCTTTCATTTATGCATGCGCGTTTCTTGTGACGGGAATGTTCTAGCGGTACCAAAATTTTTTCACCATGTGACCTTGACCGTGACATTTGACATACCTTTATATAAAAAATGACCTTAACTATTGCATCATGAGAGGTATGGCTTTCATATTTGGAATGTGTTGTCCTTTTGGCAAGACCTTTCTATCCTATTTTATGTGATCTTGACCTTTACTTTTGACCAACATTTAAAAGTTAGAAAAAGGCCTTAAGGGCCATCTGTCTATAAAGGCCTATATATGAAAGAGGCAAATAGGCCTAAAATAAATTGCTCAACTTCACTACAGCCTACAAATATGACATTGGTTGGTTCATAAAACTTAGTCATATTCTTCATATATGCACTACACAAATGCAATTACTCCAGATATATTGCTTGTTGAAAAAGTATGCTACATGCCCAATATCAAGACCCTTGGCCTTTTAGTTATTGAGAAGAAGTTGCTTACGCATTTCAACACATTTGGCACCTGTCATCTTGACAGTAAGTCATGGTGAACAAACGTGGTAGCCCTTCATTCCAGCATGCTACAGACCCAATATCAGCACCAGGGACCTTTAGGTAATTGATAATAAGTCATTTAAATATTTCAACAAATTTTATCCCTGTGACCATGAGAGTGAGCAAAGGTAATTCATTTTAAAAAACTTGGTAGCCCTTCATCCCAACATGCCAAAGGCCCAAATACCAGTACAGTGGAACTTTTGGTTATTGAGAAAAAGTTATTTAAACATTTTAACATATCTGACGGTTGTGACCTTGAAAGCATGCCAAAGTTATTTATATCATCAAACTTTGAAGCCCAAGCATGCTACAGACCTAATATCTGTACCCTGGACTGTTTGGTTATAAGTCATTTTAACATATTTAGCAACTATGACCTTGAACATAATTCAACGTCATGGAGTATGAAAATTGGGACCCAACCATCCCTTGGTGTTCTCACTACTGCAGTTCTTTGTTTAACCACTTAGTATGAAGAATGGGGTCCCGTCTTCCCTTGGTTTTCTCATCAATACAGTTCTTTGTGTAAATACTTAGAATGAATAATGAGGCTTCATCATTCCTTGATTTTCTCATTACTTACTTTGTGTAAATACTTTATATGAAGAATAGGGCTCTGTCATCCTCTTGTTTTTCTCATCGTTGCAGGTCTTCAAAGGTTGTCTCTTTTCGCTATAAACTTTAGATAATGCAAGCTATTGACAAATATTAAAGTATTTTGGTTGTTGTAGGTTTATGAATGCTAATAATGTTAAATTTTATCGTAAGATTGTAACATGGTTCCAATTGTAAGAATGCGACATCCCTTGAATCCATCTCAAACAATTTTTTGTGGTCACTTTTTCCTCAATAATTAGCTAAGGATACATCTAACAACTTCAAACTTAAGTTTAGCATGGGCTGAGATTTCTACAACTATACGTGTTGTGGTACCATATTCTTAGTATGATCTGCATTCAAGATGGCTGCAAGCGACCATATTTTTCTATTTTGACATTTTAATGATCATTATGGGACTGTCCTAGTTGTTCTTATTTTATTTTGATAAGAAATGTTACATGTAGATGACCACATGCACTTTTTCTCCACATTGGGACAACCTGGTATTTCTGCTGATGTAATGAAGAGGCGTTTTTTCAAAGCAATCGAAATGAATGATGTGGGTCTTAAGTTTGCTTAAAAAGATCTGCTATTCGAAATGGCTGAAAATGGCCTTTTGGATTTTTTTTAATACTGTGCTTGTTTATTCAAGAAATACAGAAACAATCCTCATGAAATTTCATGTGCAAGTTCAACAGGGTTCTAGCAGTGCATGTCATATTTTAGCATGATAAGTACTAATACTTAAAGATGACTGCAAGAGGCCACTTTGGATTTAAACATATTTTTTTCTTTTCTCCAAAAAAAGCGAAAGGGTTCTTCTTGAAACTTTTGGCAACACATCGAAAATTGGTCCTAGATGTACATGCCAAGTCTCTTAATTACCTCAAGATGAATGAAAGTGGCCATTTTGGATTATGAAATTTAAAGTTTGGGGAAAAAAAACCCAGAAAATACCAATCTGTCAACATACTTATAATCCAACCTTCAATTCAATAAAACTATATTAACAAAAAAGACATTTACATAAGACTCCTGAAAAAGTACAACGAAAATAAAACTTGGTGTTCCAAAGTGAAACTGTCTGTAAGGGTCAAAGTTCAGCATGTCCTATGAATCCCCAGAAGTAATTTTGAATTTTCATAGTTGAAGTGATAATTCTTTTTCTTCAGAGCCACACCATACAGTTTCTCAAGAGAAAGTGGAGAGATTTTTCATTTTTTCATATTTAGGTTATTTTTCATGGTTGTTTGTTTTGCAATAATATAAACAAAACAGAAAATCATTAATGGTTTTGAGACTTACGATTTTAAAAATAATCATTATTATTGTTTTCATATCATTGCTTCAGTGGAAATGGAAATATTTTTAGGGGTCACCTTTAACAAAATCCTGGCACTGTTTCACCATTACTAAAGTAACATAACTGGCCATACAACAAATATCTAAATGGAAAAAATGTAAATATGAATTTACGACAAACAGCAGTATAATGCAGTTTAATTTATTGTTTGGCTATACTACATCTAATCTGAATTTTTATCAATAGGTGCTATACAATGGTGTCTTTTGTACAATCTCCCAAGATTACTGGTGGACAATTCCCCAAGGTAATGCCTGCATGCCACAGTAGAAAAGTGATATGGTTCAGAATATACACATGTAACTGACATTCTCCTAAAATTAGCAGACATGAAAATTAAGAAATTTACTTAATAATGGGACTAGTGCTCCTTCCCTAGGTTTTAACTTTTCTTTCCATAACTTCAAAATTTTGGCCCTTCGCATCAATGACATGTCCTTGAAGGATGACCCAACTGTATGATGCAGTTTTATAAATTTCTCAGCTCTACTGTATCTTATCTAAATTTGCATCAAAAATTACTACTAACTTGTGTAGCTTTTGTAAAATCTCAGGCCCAATAAAGATCATACACTGGAAGGTACAAAGACCCTCTTTGAACACTTGTTCAAGAGTTTATACAAATTTTGTATTCACTTAACGTTTTTCAATTCCAAATATGTATTCAAATAAGTATCTGTAAATGTATTCAAAACTCTTTGGATGACTAGCGAAAACTGATACAATCTATTGACATTTCAAAAACATCTAAAAGGCAAACATTCTGTATATACTTTTATATCTGAAAAAAAAGAAGAAAATTCGTAGTTTCCTGATCTTCATTATGTATGTCATGTATAGGTGTCTCATTTTAACTGTAATTTCATTCCATGACTTCAATGTTGGATGTCTCAATGTTTTATCTCAATTTCAGAAGATTATACTAGGTAACATTCCTTAAACCACTAACTGAATTGTTAACAATTAAATAAAGTTCAGACAGGAAATTGACTACACATTAATTTACAAAAAAACACAACACATTTACATAATAAAGTCCAATTTAAGGTCTCAGCAAACAAAAACACCTTCCTGATGTTAGCATTATTTGGGTTTTTTTGTTCCAAACAGAACGAGAGCCTGAATTTGTATGTGTGAGTATATATATATATATATATCAGCCAATGTGTCACGTTTACCTACTTAACAGCAAATTAATATAAATCTTCCATATATGAAGCATTTATTATAACAAAAAAATTCATATAATGATCAACTTCCTACAGTTTGAACAAAATCTATAAATAGAAATTGGTGACCTTGACCTTTAATTCCTTAAATACACACTCGCCTAACTATGATGTTTGCCTAACTTTTGATCTTTGTATAAAGGTTATTATCTATATTCATTAACAAAGGTATCAGTAAAAATGATAAATCCTCCCCAAAAAAAAATCTAATGGACACAAAATAAAAACAAAGGACAATAATTTGGTACATTGCATATCCTCCTAGTATAACCAATGTTTACACCAAGTTTCATTAACCTAGTTAAATGAAAGTAAAGTTATGCTTTGGACACAAAAGTTTTATATCTACTTAGCAATAACTCTGTAATTAAGGGGTCGCAGGCCCTAACTTTGGTAAAATGCACATCTTTCAATGTATACACAAAGTTTCATGATCCTTGCTTACCTGTTGGCAAAGTTATGTTCTGAAAACAAAAAAATGAGGAGCATGAAAATGAAACAGACAGGACAAGGACATCGTATGTCACTGAATCTGTTTATATTTCCTAGTAGATGTAAAAATGACCTTGACTTCCCAAACAACATTAAATGGCAAAGGCATACATTCAAACTGGGAAAAAGTGTCTAGACTTTCAATTACTTGGTAATCATTGGAAGAAAATCTGTATTAATCAATAATACTAGAACCAGACTGAAGTTTTTAACCTGCACCCAGATTTACATCAGGCACCAAATGACTTTCAGAACACCTACAGCACTGCATCCTTGGAAACTTTCCCCACCATTTCACCTTCACTATTGGGTCCTATAAGGAGCAGGTGAATTTTATAATGTAACAAAATTTTCACTGTGAAACATAAAATAAGCATTGTTTTCAAGGGTACATGAGGTAACAAAGCAATTTTACATATGAAGGCAGAATTTCCCAGTATACCTCATTGAGTCAACTATGAGTCACAGTAACTCATTGTTTAGTTGTATGTATACAAAACTTATTCAAGTTATTCAAGACCATTATCAAAATTGTATCATCAACACTTAGTGTCTTAGAATTGTTCAATGGTCTTTGAGTTGTGTGAGTTTTTTAATAGTGTTGACTCAACACCAATAAACAGTTTTCTGAGCTGGTTCAGTAGTAGTAATCAGTTTTCCTCATCTGAGTCAGCTACAGGTACAGCGCTACTTTTCTTCTTGGTCGTACTTTTTTTCTTCTGTTTCACCCTGCTTTCAGTATGTGTCTGGTGTATACTTGAAATGTGCTCCAGCTGAAACATTGTAAGTATATCACAATAGATTTGCTGTTTATGATCTCTTCGACCACAATAAGTGGGTGTTATTTAATATCTGAGGCATCAATTAATCAATTCACAATTTACTTCTGGTAATAGTTTGTAATAAGGATTTACGTATCCTAAGAATGCAACAGAAGGACTAAATATAATCAGCTAACATGGTGAAAACCAACAAAACACAGTATAAAGGAAAAATGTGAAGAATACCTTGTATTCTCTGTGGGAAAACCTACACATGTAGTTTACGGAGGCATGTGAACACAATGCATGTAGCAGTTTGAACATGGTACAAATACAAGAGGTCCTACGGGAGAAATCATGACTACCTAACACATCAGAAAAAGGAACATCCAACCTATGCTGTAGAGGCTGAGGTAATAACAGACAAAAATAGAGAGGATGTTAAGGCTTCAGGAAAAAAAGAGACCTTTGGAATGCCTAACAAAGGCACAACTGAACCGTGTCAAGTTCCGGGTTGTCCCCAGTAAACAACTAATCTATGGAAGGTCCATCCTCAAAATCCCGGCAGGTATTGGTTCAAGCCATGGAGATGTCGAAAGAGGACCTTGCTCTCAGCGATAAGACCTCTGATGCATTAGGATCCATTCCTTCCATACCGGAGGAAAAGGGAAGCAGTGAGATTAGGGACTATAAAGCATTCAATTATATGTTAGAATCTAAGTCTACTGTATGCCTTGACGAACTCCAGTAAATAGTATAGAGACGTTATGCTATGAGAATGTTAGATTGGTACACCAAACAAGAGATACCAGAGGGATCTTGGCGCCCACCATTTGAGGATCTGTTTTCAGTTCTTGAAGATCTTTTTTTGTTTGTTACAGGTGTTGTAAATGTTCATGAACTGGTCTTCATTGAATGTACTCAATGATGGCACATGATATTTTTATTAAGCACCTATTAGCAAATATCATTTGAAAAAGATCCCAAAGTATTATTAGATAGCAGTCAGTTACAGGTGGATAATGGACAATATGCTTGTGCTGTATTACTGTCGACATCCAAGATGGCTGCCTGTGGGCCAACTTGACTTCAAATCAGTCCTAAAAAGGTACAATGCACAACTAGGGACCAAGGGAAACCAATATCTATGAAATATCAGAAGGATCCATCCTGGACTTCCTCAGATATAGCAGTAACAAGATTTTACTCTCAAAATCCAAATGCCTGTCAGCCATCTTGATTTCGGATCAGTCCAAAAAGGTATAATGCACAACTTGGAACCAAAAGGAACCTGCATATGAAATTTGAAAAAGATCCATCCAGTACTTTCCAAGAAATAGCAGTAACAAACTTTTACATTCAAAATCCAAGATGGCCACCTGTCTGCCATCTTGAATTCGAATCAGTCCAAAAAAGGTACAATGAACAACTAGGGACCAAGGGGAAACTGCATATGAAATTTGAGAAAGATCCATCCAGTACTTTCCAAGAAATAGCAGTAACAAACTTTTACTTCCAAAATCCAAGATGGCTGCCTGTCGGCCATCTTGAATTCGAATCAGTCCAAAAGAGGTACAATGCACAACTAGGGACCAAGGGGAACCTGCATATGAAATTTGAGAAAGATCCATCCAGTACTTTCCAAGAAATAGCAGTAACAAACTTTTACATTCAAAATCCAAGATGGCCACCTGTCTGTCATCTTGAATTCGAATCAGTCCAAAAAAGGTACAATGAACAACTAGGGACCAAGGGGAAACTGCATATGAAATTTGAGAAAGATCCATCCAGTACTTTCCAAGAAATAGCAGTAACAAACTTTTACTTCCAAAATCCAAGATGGCTGCCTGTCTGCCATCTTGAATTCGAATCTGTCTTAAAAAGGTACAATGCACAACTAGGGACCAAGGGGAAACTGCATATGGAATTTCAGAAAGATCCATCCAGTACTTTCCAACAAATAGCAGTAACAAACTTTTACTTCCAAAATCCAAGATGGCCACCTGTCGGCCATCTTGAATTCGAATCATTCCAAAAAAGGTACAATGCACAACTAGGGACCAAGGGGAAACTGCATATGAAATTTGAGGAAGATCCATCCAGTACTTTCTCAGAAATAGCGGTAACAAACTTTTACTTCCAAAATCCAAGATGGCCACCTGTCGGCCATCTTGAATTCGAATCAGTCCAAAAAAAGGTACAATGTACAACTAGGGACCAAGGGGAAACTGCATATGGAATTTGAGAAAGATCCATCCAGTACTTTCCAAGAAATAGCGGTAACAAACTTTTACTTCCAAAATCCAAGATGGCCACCTGTCTGCCATCTTGAATTCGAATCAGTCCAAAAAAAGGTACAATGCACAACTAGGGACCAAGGGGAAACTGCATATGAAATTTGAGAAAGATCCATCCAGTACTTTCCAAGAAATAGCTGTAACAAACTTTTACTTCCAAAATCCAAGATGGCCACCTGTCGGCCATCTTGAATTCAAATCATTCCAAAATAGGTACAATGAACAACTAGGGACTAAGGGGAAACTGCATATGAAATTTGAGAAAGATCCATCCAGTGCTTTCCAACAAATAGCAGTAACAAACTTTTACTTCCAAAATCCAAGATGGTTGCCTGTCTGCCATCTTGAATTCGAATCAGTCCAAAAAAGGTACAATGCACAACTAGGGACCAAGGGGAACCTGCATATGAAATTTGAGAAAGATCCATCCAGTACTTTCCAAGAAATAGCAGTAACAAGCTTTTACTTCCAAAATCCAAGATGGCTGCCTGTCGGCCATCTTGAATTCGAATCAGTCCAAAAAAGGTACAATGCACAACTAGGGACCAAGGGGAAACTGCATATGAAATTTGAGGAAGATCCATCCAGTACTTTCTCAGAAATAGCGGTAACAAACTTTTACTTCCAAAATCCAAGATGGCCACCTGTCGGCCATCTTGAATTCGAATCAGTCCAAAAAAAGGTACAATGTACAACTAGGGACCAAGGGGAAACTGCATATGGAATTTGAGAAAGATCCATCCAGTACTTTCCAAGAAATAGCGGTAACAAACTTTTACTTCCAAAATCCAAGATGGCCACCTGTCTGCCATCTTGAATTCGAATCAGTCCAAAAAAAGGTACAATGCACAACTAGGGACCAAGGGGAAACTGCATATGAAATTTGAGAAAGATCCATCCAGTACTTTCCAAGAAATAGCTGTAACAAACTTTTACTTCCAAAATCCAAGATGGCTGCCTGTCGGCCATCTTGAATTCGAATCAGTCCAAAAGAGGTACAATGCACAACTAGGGACCAAGGGGAACCTGCATATGAAATTTGAGAAAGATCCATCCAGTACTTTCCAAGAAATAGCAGTAACAAACTTTTACATTCAAAATCCAAGATGGCCACCTGTCTGTCATCTTAAATTCGAATCAGTCCAAAAAAGGTACAATGAACAACTAGGGACCAAGGGGAAACTGCATATGAAATTTGAGAAAGATCCATCCAGTACTTTCCAAGAAATAGCAGTAACAAACTTTTACTTCCAAAATCCAAGATGGCTGCCTGTCTGCCATCTTGAATTCGAATCTGTCTTAAAAAGGTACAATGCACAACTAGGGACCAAGGGGAAACTGCATATGGAATTTCAGAAAGATCCATCCAGTACTTTCCAACAAATAGCAGTAACAAACTTTTACTTCCAAAATCCAAGATGGCCACCTGTCGGCCATCTTGAATTCGAATCATTCCAAAAAAGGTACAATGCACAACTAGGGACCAAGGGGAAACTGCATATGAAATTTGAGGAAGATCCATCCAGTACTTTCTCAGAAATAGCGGTAACAAACTTTTACTTCCAAAATCCAAGATGGCCACCTGTCGGCCATCTTGAATTCGAATCAGTCCAAAAAAAGGTACAATGTACAACTAGGGACCAAGGGGAAACTGCATATGGAATTTGAGAAAGATCCATCCAGTACTTTCCAAGAAATAGCGGTAACAAACTTTTACTTCCAAAATCCAAGATGGCCACCTGTCTGCCATCTTGAATTCGAATCAGTCCAAAAAAAGGTACAATGCACAACTAGGGACCAAGGGGAAACTGCATATGAAATTTGAGAAAGATCCATCCAGTACTTTCCAAGAAATAGCTGTAACAAACTTTTACTTCCAAAATCCAAGATGGCCACCTGTCGGCCATCTTGAATTCAAATCATTCCAAAATAGGTACAATGAACAACTAGGGACTAAGGGGAAACTGCATATGAAATTTGAGAAAGATCCATCCAGTGCTTTCCAACAAATAGCAGTAACAAACTTTTACTTCCAAAATCCAAGATGGTTGCCTGTCTGCCATCTTGAATTCGAATCAGTCCAAAAAAGGTACAATGCACAACTAGGGACCAAGGGGAAACTGCATATGGAATTTCAGAAAGATCCATCCAGTACTTTCCAACAAATAGCAGTAACAAACTTTTACTTCCAAAATCCAAGATGGCCACCTGTCGGCCATCTTGAATTCGAATCATTCCAAAAAAGGTACAATGCACAACTAGGGACCAAGGGGAAACTGCATATGAAATTTGAGGAAGATCCATCCAGTACTTTCTCAGAAATAGCGGTAACAAACTTTTACTTCCAAAATCCAAGATGGCCACCTGTCGGCCATCTTGAATTCGAATCAGTCCAAAAAAAGGTACAATGTACAACTAGGGACCAAGGGGAAACTGCATATGGAATTTGAGAAAGATCCATCCAGTACTTTCCAAGAAATAGCGGTAACAAACTTTTACTTCCAAAATCCAAGATGGCCACCTGTCTGCCATCTTGAATTCGAATCAGTCCAAAAAAAGGTACAATGCACAACTAGGGACCAAGGGGAAACTGCATATGAAATTTGAGAAAGATCCATCCAGTACTTTCCAAGAAATAGCTGTAACAAACTTTTACTTCCAAAATCCAAGATGGCCACCTGTCGGCCATCTTGAATTCAAATCATTCCAAAATAGGTACAATGAACAACTAGGGACTAAGGGGAAACTGCATATGAAATTTGAGAAAGATCCATCCAGTGCTTTCCAACAAATAGCAGTAACAAACTTTTACTTCCAAAATCCAAGATGGTTGCCTGTCTGCCATCTTGAATTCGAATCAGTCCAAAAAAGGTACAATGCACAACTAGGGACCAAGGGGAACCTGCATATGAAATTTGAGAAAGATCCATCCAGTACTTTCCAAGAAATAGCAGTAACAAGCTTTTACTTCCAAAATCCAAGATGGCTGCCTGTCGGCCATCTTGAATTCGAATCAGTCCAAAAAAGGTACAATGCACAACTAGGGACCAAGGGGAACCTGTATATGAAATTTGAGAAAGATCCATCCAGTACTTTCTCAGAAATAGCGGTAACAAACTTTTACTTCCAAAATCTAAGATGGCCACCTGTCGGCCATCTTGAATGCAAATCAGTTCAAAAAAGGTACAATACACAACTAGGGACCAAGGGGAACCTGCATATGAAATTTGAGAAAGATCCATCCAGTACTTTTCCAGAAATAGCTGTAGCAATAATTGTTTACGGACGGACGACGGACGTAGGGCGTTTTGAATAACCCACCATCTATTTGAATAGATGGTGGGCTAATAAAATAAACATTGGGAATTAGTATTTGAGTTATCGCGCATATACTTATTACCAATGTGATTGTTGAGTTTTATGGAATAGGGTACCGGAATTTTAGTACTTTAGGTCTGAAAAATTTTAATATTGTCGTCCTGATGAAGCCTGGAGAGGGCAAAACCGATTGACGGTTAGCAATAAACAGCAAAACACTACTCCGAAGCTGTTGTGATTGATACTGTGTACCTAGTGTGTAATAAGCTATAATATTTCTCTATATTTCTGAAATTGTCTATTTAGAATAATTCTTAGTGGAACTAAACATGATATTATTATGTCAAAACTGATGATATAAACAAATCACAACATAGAACAGGTCAATCCATCCTCAAAATAGCTTTTATTGTGATAGAAACAGGTCACATAAACTCCTGGTTGTTACTGTATTTTGCAGGCTATAAACCTTACCCAAGTAAAAGCTGCAAGACTGGATTTTAGTGTTTTTCTCGTGTATATAATTTCTTTCAATTTCTAAAGTTATTTTCCAAAGTTTGTGTTTTTCCTAACTTTTGAAAAAAAAAGCTTACTGAGCACTGCTGAAGCAATACATGTCCTCTATCGACTCCTACAAGTTATTACACCTTTATGATCTATAAATTTTCTTAAAAAAAATGGACAATGACTCTGACCCAACAACCATGAAACTCCAATTTTCCAAGATAACTTGATGCTTAATTCGTGTGTGAAGTTTGATGAGAGTCCCTCAATGAATGAAGCCATCAGAGCACTCACAAATTTTCACTGACTCAAGAGTCCCCACAAGTTTCTATGTTAGGGGACTAATAATTAACCTGAGTGAAAGAAATACGATATACCACAACCACTCAGTGTTTAACCTGGCATCTGGCATTATATCAACAGGATATTATTGATGGCTTCTTTTATTTTCCGTTTATGAAGTTGGAATATAATCATGAAAAAAAAACATCTTATTTAAAAAGAGAAAACAAGCATTCATTTGCATGACTTCCATGAGGAATGATATTTTAATCATTTTGGTAAAACCACAAAAATTTTAAACATTTTAGAAAATACCATCCCATTATATACCAATATGAAGAAAGTCTACCAGGTTATTCCAACAAAGAGAACTTTTCAAATCTTGGGGACTTGCAGACACTCCATGTCTTTTCCAAGAAACCAAATTCAGTTATTATGAAAAGTGAAACAGAAACAAACATGTTTTGTGAACCGTTTATTCACATACTGGTAAAAACTGTATCAGAATATCACCTGTTTTTGACTTGAAATGTTTTGTGACTTTATACACACTAGTGTAAGGTGCTTTTGTACTTACAAGTTTTGGACATTTTCTCAACAGAAGCTTGACATCATCAGCATTAATGGTAGTTCTTTTTGCATGTCTGAAATGTAATCAATATGTAGAATTTTATTAACACATATAAATCTATAACTCTAAAGCTCATCTGTGTTTAAAAGCATTGTGAATGACAGAAATATAAATGTATTTTATTATTTTGCATCATAAAATTCACGATGGGAGTCATTTTTGTTTAAGTAAAACACGAGTCCAATTCACCAAAGGATACTCATTACCAAAATTAACCAAAAGTATCTTTCTGAAAGAAGAACAATTTTCTTCTACTGTCCCTTTCTCGTACTAAACACAAACTTTATGATTATTTTTCAACAATTGCAAAACAAGTTATTCTAATTTTAATGAATTAATCATTCTTAGGCAAAATGGGAGCATGCAAAGAGTCTTCCTGTTGGAAGAAACTGGAGTACCTTGGGGAAAACCCCTTGTGGTTGATAGGTGACCCCCATACCTTTTTCATGTTTCTTCGAGGCATTGAACCCTGGGTGTCTCGATGAAATGCTAGTGCATTACCACAGCACCAACTGAACACCAACTACCCCTCTGACAGACAGGGATTAATCTAGACAAATTTTACTACAGGAAAAGGATAGTATTCCCGAAAGTGCTTGTTATCCCCTTTGAGATATGTAATCAATAAATTGATGATAATGATGATGATGATCACGATGATCATGATGATCATAGTTGGAAAGTGTGAAGGCATGAATATTTTGTTTTGTATATGTATTATTTTTAATACAAAAATCCTTGAAAAATGAAAAAAAAAAAAAAAATAAAAAATATGAAAAAAGTGTTTTCCCTGATGAATATTAGCAAATTCCCTAACAACAAAAAAAAGAGTTAATAATATCAATATACTATATATATAATTATATTTTCTTATTATATTTCCAAATTTGCAATCATAAAAAAATGCTGTTCTCAATTTCTCATATTAAGCCACAAAATCCCCTTTATTCACAAACAGTAGTATTCCCCAGATTCCAGATTAACTTCTGACTGCAGATGCTGTAAGGTTTTAATGATAGAAAACTTACTTAGCGAACATTTCCAGATCCTGCGTAACCTCTTGAATATATCTCCATGTGGTTTCTGCTATAGCTGCCTTCACTGAGTTGTCTATGGTAATCCCAGCCTCATCGTCCTGTACTAGTTCTGAACAAATTTTCACCACAGTATGATGAACAGATGCCTTTAATCTCTGAAGAACAGAATCATGGATTTTATGTTCAGAGTGAGTGTCCCCATTATGTACAGGAGAAACACAGAGTTTAACTAAAAAATATACCCAAGATATGAATGACACAGCTACCATATTCATACAAGTATCATTGTTTGATGAATCTGCAGAAATTGTGAAATATGACCTTTGGCTAGTAATCTTTAAATTTGACAGAGATGAGCCAGTGATTTTTGGACTCAAACACTTTGAGTCCTGGACACATAATTTTCCTGTGGGATTCACTCAAATCTTGAGAACCCATTATATCTCTTTATAAATGGACTAATCCAAATTTTGGAAATAGTGCTCTAGACTGACCAGAAAAAATCCTACAAATACTACAGAGTCCACCTTGATATGATAAGGTGTAGAACATAATGTTATGATTCTATGGGGAAAATATGAACCAAATCTGTTGAAAGGTTTTTAGGATATGACAATGATTGAAAATAGACACATTCAAATAGTCATAGGTTGCACGAAATACCTCTTCGCCTACGCAAATAATTGGTGGGTATACAGTGAAGAAATTCCCAAGTTTTTCTATTACAGGTAAATGAAAGGGAGTCCTGTGAAAGTCATCCTTTAAAAAAATATGAAAATTTCAAATGCTGTGGTAGAAAGAAAATTAAGGCAACAACAGTTACAATTCTTAATAAACCAGGAAGGAAATTCCTAGCCTAAGTTTCCTCCAAATCTTGCACCTTCAGCAGGCATATTGACAGTCTATATATGTGCATCCTCACACCACACATTTCCAAGTCAAAATGTCTAACATCTTGTGTAAGAGCTGCAGGAAAATCCTGCCTATATGAAGTTATTGTATATCCAGCTGCCTAAAATGTGTACGACATTTCGATAGAGAGGTCCATCTGACATACATATCTTGGTTTCAGATGACAACAAATATGATAGAAGTCACAGAGACACTAAATAAACAGAATACAGCACTGCATCAGGGTATGTCTGTTTTATATTTGACTATTTTGAACATCATCCACTCTTGAACTGTCATAACATCAGAAAAATTTGAAAACAAAGGAAGAGTTATTTCCCTTCTCACATGTTCCTAAGTGAAATCAAAGTACTGAAAGTACTGAGAGGCTAAACGTATTAAAAAATGTTCACAAATAACCGCTAAGCTATATTACTTTCCCCATACTCCCTACACTTTGGAATGCAAAAATTACTAAAATAAGAGAACCAGAGGCTATTTTTCTTAATTTTAAGCGATTTTATATCTTCTTTAATTCCTATTTCAAATTTGACGACAATAATGTGAATAAACAAACAAAATACACACAACCATATATTTATCGCCAACAAGCCAAATGATAAATAGCTCTATGATGAAGTTGACTAAATAAAACCTTTGAAATACCAAAGATGTTAAAATTGCTATCCTATCAATATGAGGATTTAAACAAATAGAAAGGACTTTATACCTACTTCTTTATTTTGAATGTATTGCAAAGTAATAGTCCTTACTTATTGTAATTATATTTGCAGTTGAGGAAAGTAGATAAGGTATACACAGCATTTCAAATAGATAAAAGTGTAAGTAATTACATTAAATGTATTTCCATGCCTAACTTCCTTGAAGTATCATGGTTAGACTTTTCTTCCAGTAATTATGTCTATAAAGGCATAGTTCTATGAGATTAAACCAGACTTCCATATATATATATATACAAAATTTATAATATTTTCACTATAGCTACTACTATTTCTGATCTCCAATGCATTAGCTAATGTCACCATGACATGCTAAATGAATAAACATGTTATGGAAATATTTCGTTTTAGTTAATTGATAATAATAAACATGAATATTTTGTGGGGTTTTTATACGCGCTTTGTTTGAAGGAATATTTTCATTTCAAGGAACTTTGATACAAATTAACAAACCTTGAGAAATCAGCACAATCAACCTTCATCAAATAAAACTAAAAGGTAAAAAATATAAGTTATAACAAAGTCAACATCATGATCAGTACAGTATTAAAAATGTATCATTCATAAATCATGAGCACCAAATGTACTTAGCCTACGAAGCGCAAACTTTTTATCTTCAAAAACTTGAAAAAGTGTCATGGCGACAGGTGTGAAAATCCTGAATAAAAAGTGTCATATCGGCGGGTGTGCGTGTAGGAAGAACAGTCCAATTTTGTGACGTCTAATGAGGTAAAGTGATATTAAGACGATCTTGCCACAACGACAAGGATTAAAGCAAAATTGATGTTCTGTTTGTAAGTTTTGTTTGTTTATAAGTGCTGTTAGTTGATAATTAAAACCAAGCCCCCAGGCTAGCTTCTTATCATGGCGCCAACTCGCACGTACAGTGTTCTGTATGCTTACATCATGTCGAGAATTCCGTAAAATATATTGTTCAAAATTTATCAATAGTTCAACCACACTGTGCTTCTTAATTGAAATATATAGTAATCGTATTGTTATTAAAAAAAAATAAACGAATTTTGGATGCTTTTAAAATAGCGATTTGAAAAATCGCGGCTTTATTTACGCAGAAAATTGTCGCTAGAGGGCTCTAACTCTTTTCGATATTTCAGCCAATGAGAAGGCCAGGATCGGCAAATTTTGTCTGAAAGGCTGTCACAACAGGCAATGCGTACTGAGTACGTTTAGCCTAAAAAGTGTAAATAAATAGGAATGAACCAATTTCTAGGACTAAATTGACTATACATAACCAACGTGCCTAAAGCAAGAGTTTTGTTATCTTAGAGTCCATGTGCATGATCTATTGAACTGCTCATCACCACACTATGTACATGCATCACCCTTTCCAGGTACTTTCCAGGTACAAGAGATACAGAATAATTTTAATATGATTTAATAGTATACTGATCCAAACTTCAAAAAGTTCTAACTATCCAAGGTTCTCCACTACAAACAGTTTGAGGGTTTTCTTTTTAATTCAATGAAAAGATGCATATATATGACAGATAGTTTCTTATAAAACAACTATACACACATATATATACATAAATGGCAAATATTTCAATCTGTAATACTTAATATCATTAATTTTTCTTTTAACAAATTTTTGTTTATAATTTCTCAATATCTCTTTTTTTATGTTTTTCATTTTTTTAAAGCATCATAATTCTTTCTCTCAACTCAAACTTTACTATGTATTCAAAAGCACTTGTTGAATTCATGTTCTACATGTAAGTAAATATAAATGTTGCTACTTTAATATCTATTATAATATCAAACAAGGATGAAAGAATAAAAGGGGGTTGGTAAATGTATTAAAAGTATATCAAAGCTAGACTGAGAATAGATTTTTTCCACTTTCTCTGCATTATAGTCTAAACATTTTGACAAGTGTGAAAGTGACCATCAAACTGACCATCACTAGTTTGGTCTCCAAGGACCCTTGAGAAGTATAAAAACAAATCTATAATAAAATTGAGTATGTATAAAATTTCAGGGAAAATTAGACTCCAGGAAAACCAATACTCTTGGCAGGTGCTCCAATACATCAGACAATCACAGGCATACACATACAACTTTGACATTCAAGCTCACAATTTTCATTTGAAAACATTCAAAATTGGAGAAAAAAAACAAAATATGGATGTACATTAATATCATAGGGATGCAGTAAAGACAGGGTAGATATAAACAAATGATCCTCAAAAATGCAACTTATGACAGGTGTCACTGAAACTGACCAAAGTTTCTAAAAGGAATTGTCTGGAAAAAGAGTTAGCTGTTCTTCAATATGCATATCCCCTACCACACCCCACAAAGTCCTGCACTAGTAATGACTTATAAAGATGGTGCTGTTTGGAGATAGAAAAAAAACAGTTAAGTGTACAATTTTGTGCTTTAAAAGAATGTGAACTTTTATTAAAAAAAAAAAAAAACTCAGAGAATTAAGCCACTAGAACTGTGACAATGATTTTCCAACAATAGCAAGATACCTAAACCTTGACCAAACAATCCTGAAACCAGAACTTTTCCAAAATATTATGATCATTTGTGAGTGGTTTGATCAATATTCCATTTGGAATGAAGCTGTTTGGCCACTGATAGTTTTCTAAAAATAGTAACAGTGACTTTAACCAAACAACTCAGAAACTCATAATTGTTCAATTTTGATCAACTTTATCAATATGTAAAGTTTGATGAAAACCTGTCAAGGAATGAAGTCACAAGAGACTGTAGAGTGCTGACAATGATTTTCTAAAAGCAATAATGATGATCTTGACCCAATAATCATTAAACTTGAACATGTTAAAGATGATTTTATGCTGAATAAGTGTTTCAGCTTGATGAGAATCCCCCTAGGAATGAAGCTGGTAGAGTGCTGACAATAATATTCTAATCATATTAATGGTGATCTTGACCTTTACCCAACAACTCTGAAACTCAAACATCATGTCCAAGATAATTTTATCAGTGCATGAAGTTTAATGAGAATCCTTCAAGAAATGGAACTGCTAGAATGCTCAGCCGACAATGATTTTCAAACAAAAAGCAACCATAATATCTGTACTGTTTTACCATAGGCTACACATACTGCAGCGATTTTTGGTACTTTTCCACATGCAAATAAATCATATTAATTGCAGTTACATGATGTTTCATATGTTAATAAATGTGACATGTGCAAAAAATTGAAAAAAGCTAAGGTTAAAGTGCTTTCAGCTAACAAAGCCATACCCCAATTGGCATATAATAGACTAGTTTGCATACTATTGATAAATTTGTGGTTTTCCCTGATCTAAATTAACCGAATCAAAACCCCAGTACCTGACAGCATCTGAAATTCACGTACAATAACAGGATGCCCACTGAAGCCATAAGTGTTTAGGTTATGCTTTTATTCACTTACAATCTTACAATGAACTGTCATATCATAGTCAGGAAATGTGACATTGTATCAGACTTGCTTTGGAAATTACACAGAAAAAATTATACTCATTCAAAATATTTCAACTTAATAATTGATATGTATTTTTCTATGGACTGTTTATGTAGTGTTTATCATGTGAAAAGGTCGGGTAGGAGTCCACGGTCCTGTATATAACTACCTGTCTATATGTTGAAAGAGCGATCACAATGGTTTCGGGATTTGAGTACCTGTGATGTAATATAAACCACAATCACCTGTACCAGGAATGTAAACAGAGGTACATGTGCTTTAACTAAAAATCAAGTAGTTATACAATTTCTTTTCTTTATACACCGAGACCATCAATTTTATATGGTTTCAGAATGTGTATAAATACCGGATTTTTAGTGTTGTTACATCAGGCAAAATCCGATCGCAAGAACAGGCGTGATACTTTAAGTCACAGACGAACGCTCAACTTGCCTGTTTGTGTTGAAGATTTTCCATGTCATCATCCTCTGTCGCCATGCTCCCGGAGACAGCTGCGTAAGATGCGATATACGAGTGGTGTTGGTGAACAACAACTAAAAGTCTGTTTCGGATTCCGCGGGTACGTGGAACTCTTCAAGAGGGGAGGTAAGAATCTGACAAGACGGGTCTAGAAGGAGATTCGACGCTCTGCGAGGACAGGACAAACCATTTATTTTTCCGTTCGTGTATTTTTGTTTTTTTAATATTTTCTTTCTTTATATAACAAATCTTCTTATAAAATAGATTAAAAGATGAAACGAATGTTTTTTGTCTTGTTAAAAATAAACACTTATAAATGTCGCACTTTAGTTATCCTGAATATACCCTCCTTCTCGACTCGCGCACTCGTTCAAGCCATCATGACACATACGCTTTCAGATACATGCAAACCTCTACAAACACTCATTCTATCAAAAATCTATCACACAAGCCCCAAAGTACTACTATTTCTACTACGATGAAATTGCTCTGCTTATTATAGTGTTTTATAGATCAATTAGCCAGTTGACTTCCGTTGTATAAAAAGGGTAATGGAAAATGGTAAGGGATTATCTTACAGTATATCATATGGAACCATAGACTTACATACACACGAACTTAGATATATATATATATATATCCGTGGAGTCCGTGGAATCTAGCACATTGTTCACCAAAGACTAACATATTTTTAGGAAAAGGCTATTCGTGTGTTTAAAACAAGTGATTGTCGTCATTGAGAAATAGAGGGAAGAACATTTTTTTTCAATTTCATCTATTTTGACCACACCAAACTTTAAGGAAAATGACTTAAACTGGGTCAGATACTTTTAGTCTCAACGGCACAAATATCGACAATGTTGAGAAAAAGTGAATCATCAAAATGGTCAGATGTTATAATTAAATGGTGTTCCTCAGTTGGATGTGATCGGTCCGACAATGTTTCATTAACTTACCAGTAAACAGCACTGCCAAACATTTTGCCGATGAAACTAAAATGCATATCACCGTCAATAACACCACGGATAGTAGTAACGTTCAATATGACTTGTGACAACCTCATAAAACGGTTTGAAGACTGACAGCAAAATTATCTTAACAGACGCAAATGTGGCAGCAAAATAATTTTAAAAGAGACAAACAGAAGCATTTATGGCTTGGCACAGACACTGTTAATCATCTACTGTAACCGTATGGAGCAATCAACACTAATAAAGACAGTTGCAGAAACATTCGGAAGCCGTGTTATAGCGAGCTTTTCTTCAGACACATACAGGCAGTTTAATGTTTCTCAGAAAGCTGAGAAACTGATCGATATGTGCTCACGTGGTTGTATCCTTGACAAGACGCTACCTTAATTGTTCTGGATGGATGCGACAGGTACTCCGTATGTCATTTTAAGAGGTAGCCGTCAGCTTCTAAGGAGGAGACCCCAACTCAAAAGTACCTTGATTGTTCATCTATTTATTTAACGGTGTTTACGGCCACTATAACTGCAGTAAGTAGAGATGAAATAGTATTAAGCCATATATACCACCATAATACCTATAATTGTTAAGACTTAATATAACTAGGCGCGTCGCAGCTGTAGGACTGGTTAGGTTGGGGACAGAGATAAGGAGGAGGGGGGATCCTAAATTTTCTTAATATCGATGTATTTTTAACATTTTGGAAGACCGTCAAATTTATTCAATGGATTTGGTTATCTAACCCTATTCTCTAGACCGGCGGTATCACGCCTACATTGGCTGTCCATGATCCCATGGTGATATAACCAGCCAAAAACAAACAAATCATACCGGAATCGGCCTAGAGTTAATGGAGTAATCAAAAGATCTTTCAAGTACCTTAAATAAAGAGACGTCCATCAACCTGTAATTATCACAACCAAATATAATAATTACCATCAAGGACAAATGAAAACAACGGCGTGCAACAACGGCTGAATTCATCAAATAGAAATTAGAATAAAACGGAAAAATTAAAAGAAGGTTTACCTTCCCTCAGAGACAGAGAGCTGGTGTAATGGAAACGTTCCTAATTAAAACCAAATGTTCTCCACCAACGCCATCAATACACGAGGACATAGCACATAGATAAGAAAAAAAACAGTTTCGCTCAGAGTGTGATCAACACCTACGGTGACTAATTGAGGACATCCAAATAATCAGTTCTATCGAGTTATAACGAGATAACATGTCGTTATCCGGACTTAGAATCTCGTCATAACGAGTTAATTATCTCGATATAACAATTTTAATTGCAGTATCTCGTTTTATTTACTTTGTGATATTAATTTAACGTCTTGATATTCCACTATCACTCTATGCTATCTCGTTATAGCGAGATAAAATTAATTATTTGTTTGTCCTCAATCACCTACCGTAATTATCATCTCCAAAATAAGTAATCATATCAAAAGAAATAGATCGGTGTAAATCTCGTGTTGACATAGCACGAAAAGACAAAGATACGCTGGAAATTACATGTCACAATCGGAGATGAGAAACCAATCGATAGGAGGGAGAGAGTTGAGATCTCGACATCAGGTAACACGTGCAGTAAGAGATCGGATTCAGATATACGCCTCTAGTGTAACAGTCGCCTTCGTTACAGGGTTCACTGTACTGTCGAAGACATCATTTATGGTCTAAGTACCCTGCATGATGATGATGGTTGTAGTGGTGGTTGTTTTTCGTCTCCGTGACTCTGCCCGTCGCCAGGCATTGTCCAATCGACGGGCAGGAGTCACGAAGACGAAAAACCCTGAACATGTAGCTATTCAATAAGTAGCCATTGTGATCAATTAGTGGTCTCTATTAAAAAGGAAGAAGGAAAACGGGATACGGTGCTGATATTTTTATCTTGTATAATATTGTAATGAACGTAGATATTGGTATTACCCTGCAAATATGTTTTAATGAAGACGAAAAAAGACTGGAGGGATAAAAAAAATCTTATTATTTACAATTGTTTTGTTAACACAATTGGTAACTGGTGCTCTAAAAATCAGATTCTGTAAGCAGGTGTGACGAAACTAATTCCGATTTAGATTTTTTCACTTCCACAATGATTCCCTCCCACGTGTCTTCAAAATGATAAGATATTCTCCCAATGACGTTATTCTGGTATATTTTCATTTGTTCAAGTGTTAAACTAGAAATTATTGTTTGGCATTGCTGTCATGGTTACTAGAAGCAAAAGCGAATATTTAAGTACAAGTCCATTCACCTACATTTTACATCTACCAACACTCAGCATTATTCTCTGGAAAATCAGTCTTTTTCTGTAGGAATGATTGGATTTTGTCCATATTTACTCTGAAGCATCATTGTGTGAAGAGGACTCTGTTTTGCATAAGTGGTGGGTATGACCACCATTGGGCCAGAGGGGCAGGACCCATTAAGGAATACAACATAGTGTAAACGTTACTTCCAAATTTGGTCAGGCTTATCCTCAGGTGAAAGAAAATCAATTTTGTATTAATGTTGGGTCTCGGCCATTAGGAGCTAGACTCAGTAAGAGAGATAGAGCTAAAAGTTCGAAATATTTTTTTTTGCTTGGACGAAGATATTTTGATGAAATTTAATTTCTAACTTCACAATTCTTCTTTTTTCATTGTTGAAATTGTAACACTACAATTGTGAATAAACAGTTTTTGATGTGAAACCTGAAATATCCAGATGAGCAATACAGGCCCCATGGACCTCTTATCTTAGCTTGTAGTGGCTAGCGTTACTAAAGAACAGAAATACAGGCTGCTGCTGGTCATTGCTGTATACTCATCAGTATTTCATTTGTAATCAAATTCTGAAGATCACCCACACAAGTAAAGCATTCACAATTCATCGGTACAAAATCTTTGAACATTTACACACAAAAGAAAACAGTATTTCTTATATCTCACTGACAGTGGATGGGGCTCGGCATTCAGTCACAGATCTTTTCATGAAACACATTTTCGGGATTCATCACCTATGTCTTAACTATCCCATCCCTTCAACCCTCATTTTTTCTTTGGACAGATCATGATTCCCCTGGGTTGTAACTTTAACAAACTCGATATTACTTCACTCTGGCTTTTTATATAATATCATCAACAATGAGCTCTTGGTTATCATGAATCCAGAAGAAATGTTTTCAACACGTTTGACCCCTATGACCTTTAAAGTATGAAAGGGTAAGTTCATTCATTTCATCAAACTTAGCCTGTCTTCCCCACAGGCTACTGACCGAATATTTCCACTCAAAGTCTGTGTTATCTGAAAAAAAATCCAGGTCCACATTAGCTCAGTCGGTTGAGCATTGGGCCTTGAGTCATCGATACTCCAAGGTTTACACTCACTATCACTATCTGCACCCCTGAAACATGTCATGGCAAAACTAAAGGTTCTATGTGCACACATTGTGGACAAGATGAAAAGACTTATTTGATTCTTTGATGTACATCAAACAAATATCAGATCCATAAACAGTTTGTTGTACTGCTTTGAAGTGGAGTGTTGCTCCCTTGTAATTTTCAAAGGAGCGTATCACTCAGCAATTGGTCCAGTTTTACTCCAGAGACCTGCTCTAGACCAATCAAATTACTTGTATTACATTGAATCTTCAATTTTCATATAAAGTAAACGTGTCACAGGCCAAATAGAAAAATGTTTGCACCAAATAACTGGGTTAAGCTTACGACTGTTGTTGTCATTGTTTTGACATAGTTATGCTCTATCAGGCTGCCATTTTCCCCTACTCCAGTGTTAGTGGAAATGATAAACACTGATTTACATACGATCAAGATATCATTTGATTGAAAGTTTACTCTAAAATCTATGATAGCGGTGTTCTGGTTTCAATCCAAGTTGTCCCCAAGGCATCACCCCGAAGACAGCAGTCTGATCTACGATAGTTACTTCCCTTCGATTCACTCTATTAAAGTGTGATGAAGCTATACTCAGCCAAAAGGGGCTACAAAAGCGAAGACAGCTGCTTTCATATGTACAGAAAATCTATCTGGACAAATATTT